ATTTCTATTACATATATAAATAAAAAGAAAAAATATATAAAATTAAATTTTAAAATTAAAAGTTTATTTTTAAAAAAAAAAAAAAATTTAAACCCCAAAAAAGGTTTGATTTACAATTGTGTTTAATATTTATTTTTCTGAAAAAAAAAAAAAACATTATATAAAATCCCATGAAATTATTATAATATAACATGTTTAATATTGGTTTTTTATTCATACTAAATAAACAAATAAGTAAATTTTTAGGGTATTATAATAAATAATAATTAAACACAAAGAATATAGAATTGAATAGAATAATTAATTTTTTTTTTATTTTTATTTTTTTTGCATCAAAAATAATTTAAAACACTTTTAGTAAATAACATATTTTTGTATGCTTTCCATATTAATATCATATCATGTCATATATTATTTTATTATTATAAAACAATTAAATTATAAATAAATAAATAAATAAATAAATAAATAATAATATATGTTATAATTTTTTTAATTTTTTTAATTTTTTTAATTTTTTTCATTCTTTTTTTTTTTTTTTTTTTTTTTTTTTTTATATGTATACATAAAGTTTTTGTATGGAATAAGAATAAAAATAAAATTAAAAACAAGAAAGAAAGAAATTAAAAAAACAAAAGTATAAATATTTATATATTATCTTCAGAACATAGAGAATTACTCATATAAAACTGGATGTATATATAGAGAGTATATAAAAGGCTTTCTTAAGAGCATTTCCGTTTGGAATAGAAGCTCCATTAGAACATTCTATTTTTTTTAAAAAAAATTTTTTTACATAATTTTATTTATTTTTTTAATTATTATTTTTTTATTTTTTTATTTTTTTTTTTTTATTTTTTTTTTTATTTTTTTTTAAAATTTTTATATTCACAAATTTATTCATAATAAATAACACAGAGACTAATATCTCATTTTTTTTTTTTTTTTTTAATAAAATCATTCAAATTAGAAATTTCACGTACACACAACAATAAAAAAAATAATAATACACACAATAGTTTCCAATATTTTTTTTAATATCATAAAATTTTAAAAAAAACTTTTTTTTGTGTTTGTTTATATATACATAATATATAGAACATTCGATAATATATTTAATAATAAAATAATTTAATAATAGTAAAAAAAGAACTAGCTTTTTAATATTTTATATTATTATTTATTATTTTTTGAATAAAATAATAATAATAATAATAGTAATAAAATATTAGAGATATCAAATAATACAATTGTAATATAAATTTATTATCCGTTAAATTATTAAAATTTAACTACCTACTATATTGTTTTTAAAAATATAATCTAACACCACATTTTTTTTTATTTTTATTTTTAAAATTTATTAACATTTTAATTTTTATATAGCTAAGCAGTAATAAATGTTTTATAGTTGGCAAAATAAAATATAATAGTAATAATAATTTTTTATATAAAAAAATAGATAAAATAACTTAAAAAAAAAAAAAAAAAAGGATTTTTTAATAAGATGAATCCATTTTGTTATAATAGTAATAGTGGTGGTATTGTTTCAAGTTTTTCTTTTGATTTCTCAAGATTAGCAAATAATAATAATAATAATAATAATAACAATAGTAACAACAACAACAATACTACCTCTTTTAATAGCAATAATGGTACAAATGATACACCATCTACATTAGAAAGTCATCATCAACAACTTCAATTAATTCAACAACAACAACAACAAGAAAAATTAAATAGCTCACTCACATCATTAATGCCAGTATCAACACAGAAACAAGAACTAGAGTTAAATAGTCTACCAAAACATATTTTAAAAGAAATTTTAAAACACTTAAATGACCAATATAGCAGTTGTACAGGATCAGTTAGGCCACAGAATCCAATATTTCATAATAATTGTTATAGCGATTTAAATACTAACGGCAAAGATTCTGGAGATAAAAAACCAAAGAAACATTTAAGAAATAGCGGTAGTAATATAAATAATAGTAGTCAAACTACAACAACCAATAATAACAATAATAATAATAATAGCAATGGTGACAATAAAAATAATATAGTTATATCATCACAATCGTCAACATGTATTTATTTAAAAGATATTATTGGATTATCATTAGTTTGCAAATTATGGGCAAAATGTATTGTTCCTGTATCGATTTCAAGTTTTATAAAGATTTCAAATAGAAAAGAGTTATTAACAGTAACCAAGTTTATGACCGATGGAATTATAAAGGGGGGCGCGGTATGCACATTTACTACAATTAAATTTCACTGTAAAAAATCGCAATTAGAAAAATTAAGATATCAACAGCATCAACAAGAGGAGCTTAATAATCCATGTTATAACTCTGTTTCAACTGGAGGAATTAATAGTAGAGATTATTGCAGTCTTTTAGAAAAGTGTGGCTCAATTAAATCATTAATCTTTGGTAGTGGTCATCAACTTACTCAATCCGATCTTTCAGTTATAACTTGCTACCTTAGAGATTGCACTAACATTACCGATTTAAAGTTAAGCAGTTGCTTTACCAATGCAAATAGTTTTGGTTCTTTCTGTGAATCACTTCGTTACAATCAATCTTTAACCGCTTTGGATATCTCCTATAATTGTTTATCCAAAGAATCAATTTGCCAATTGGTACAAGCCCTAAAGCACAACCGTACTCTCACATTCTTAGATTTATCTTTTAATGGTATTGGCTCTAATGGAATCTATTTGGCCAATATGTTTAAAACAAATGTTTCACTTCAAAGTGTATTTTTAATTGGTAACGAGCTCGATAACGATTCTGTTGCTTCCATCGCCGAAGCACTTAAAAAAAATATCTCTCTCACCGAACTCTCTTTGTCAGAGAACAGCTTCGATGATGAAACTGGCCAATTAATCGGTGAAATGTTAACCTACAACAAAACCATAAAGTCTATAGACCTTAGTTTTAACGATTTGGCTGATTGTACCGTTCAAGGGTTTTCAGAAGCAATTTCCTGCAATAATACTTTAACCACCCTTAATCTCAGCGATTGTGCCATGAGTGTTAGTGAAGATGCCGGTGTTCAATTTTTTCAAGCTTTACAAACCAACCAAACCATTCAAAGGTTGGTTCTTTGGAGTTGCGATCTCTCAAGTTTAACTGTAAAGGAGCAACTTGCTCACGCTATCCGTGTTAATACTACCATTACAGAGTTGTCACTAGGTTTCAACGATCTCACATCAAATGATATTTCCATCCTCCTTCATAAGGGTTTAAAGTATAACAGAACAATTAAAATCCTTTCGTTCAATAACAACTATATCGATTCCGTAGCTGGTATCATGTTGGCAAACTATATCAAAGAGAATGATACCATTCAACAATTATCATTATTTGATAATCGTTTAGATAACATCGCTTGTGTTCAATTTCTTATCGCCATTTGTTCAAATAATACTATTCAAAAACTTTGTTTAGGTTCGTGCAGAATTTGCCCAAATTTGACAAGTCATCTTAGGAGATGTTTAAGACATAATACAATGATCTCTAGCGAAGTTGACCATGCTTTCCCAATCTCTCAAGAATACCGTAAAAATTGTATATTATCAAAATTAAATTATTTAAAAACCGAATTTAAAAAAGAGCAACAAGGTATTTCACCTCAATCAGAATTGGGCAACATTTTAACACAGCTTTTACAAACCATATCACAGGCTATAAATAATATTGAAAATAATAATAATAATGGTCATAATAATTTGTTAATAGCTGGCCACCAAAACAACGCCAATATAAATAATAATAGTTGTAACGATATAAATATAAATGGTTTAAATTTAAATAGTAGCTCACCAAATATATATATTAATCATCCAAATTCTCCAGTAAATAATAATATCGATTTAATAAATAATACAAATAGTAATATACTATTTAAACCAACCTTTCAATATAAATGTCAATCTCAAAATCAACAGACATCCAACCCACCACATTTAAATAATAATAATAATAATAATAACAATAACAACAATAATCTCAATTCTCCAAATAGGACCAATATTTTCTCATCGAACTTAACAAATCAATCAATAATACCAAATAATAATATTTTGATGAATAATAGTAATTTAAATATAAATAGTGTTTTTGATCCACAACAACAATTCCAAGATGAATTATTACAACTTCATAGCCAATTACAGCTCGAAGTACATAATTTTGTTTCTCAACCCCCACAACAACAACCAAATCACAAAACAAATGGTAATTTTCAATTTTTTTAAATAACCTATCAAATAATTTAAAATAATCAAAGTGTATATAATAATAATTTTTTTTTTTTTTTTAAAAAAAAAATACAAAAATAAAATTAAATTTTTATTTCTTTTATATACATTATTAATATATAAACTATATTAATATTAAATATTGTATATAATTATTTTTTTTGACAAAAAACTTTTTCATTTTTTTATTTTTATTTTTTTTTTAATTTTTAATTTTTAATTTTTAATTTTTTTTTCATAAATTTTTTAAATTATTTTTTAAACTCATACCATTTAATTTATACATTCCATCTTATATCTAAATTTTTTAAATAGTTTATCCATACATTATTAAAATAATATGGACAATAACCCAAAACCACAATCAAAATATTCAGATAAATTAAAAGGTGCATTTAGCCACAATGATGTCAAAGAGAGATTAAAGAAAAGGTGCATTGAAACACTAAAAGAAAATAGAAAGAAGGATCTTGATAGGGCTAGGTTAAATAATTTAAATAAAAATGGTAGTGGGGAAAGTATAAAGTCAACTCTTGTTAGCGAACTAAAGAAATTAAAAGATGAAAATAATTTAGATAAAAGCAATAATAACATTTTACAAGATACTGGCAATAATAGTACTTCAAATAATACAGATAATACAAATAACAAAAATAATACAAGTGAATATCATTATGGCAATAGCGTGGAGTTTGATGATTTCGATTTTGAAATTGATGAAAATGAAACCTTTGGTAACAACGAAGATTTAAACAATATTAGTAATGTTTTGGAAAATGAAGATGTTAACCTAACAACATATATAGAAGGTGAAGAAGATAATTTTGATGTTTATAGCTTAACCTCACAAGAAGAAAGAGATTTACTTTTGGAAATTCAAGAAACTCTTGATGCTGATGAGGAATATGCCAGAATTTACGAAGAGCACGAAAGAGCAGAACAGGAAGAAATTGAATTATTTTATCAACACGAAATTGAAAGAATAGAGAAAGAACAACAGGAACAAAAAAAATAGTTTATTAATTAAGCTATATGTATATATTATATCACTAAAGATTTTAAAATATTATGCATTATAAATGTAAATTAAATTAAAAAATAAACAACAGTGTAAACAAAAAAGTAATATGCACTTTTTTTTTTTTAAAAATTATTTTTTTCTTTTATTTATTTTTTCTTTTTTTTCTTCTTTTCATCTTCAGATGATGATTCAGCTGATGATTCGGATGAAGAACTATCTGATGACTCTACTTTTCTTTTTTTGTCATTTTTCTTTTTATTATCTTTTTTGTTATTTTTCTTTTTCTTTTTTTCGTCTTCAGATTCAGATTCAGATGACGATTCAGATGATGACTCTTCTTCAGATTCAGATGATGATTCGGATGATGATGATGATGATGATGATGATTCACTGTCGGATTCTTCTTTTTTATTCTTTTTATTATTACTATTTACATTCTTTTTATTTTTACTTTTTACATTTTCAGATTCAGATTCTGTTGAATTTGATGAACTATTATCTTTTATATTTGTATTAACTTTTGATGAGGTATCTGAATTTCTTTCTGAAACATCACCATCGTCGAATTGTATAGTATTTGAAGAGTCTTTTAATGAAACAGTATTTTCATCACTTGATGAGTCACTTGTATTCATTTCAATATCTGTACTTAGTTTATTTGATGGATTGTTATTGTTCGATTGTGGATTAATTGATTCGTTTAAATGCTTTTGAAATTTATCGAGATTGCTTGAAACATGTTGGAAAAAATCTTCTGTTGGAGTTGCATTACCACTTAAAAATAATCTATTTTCTTCATTTTGTTTTCTCTCGAGTATAAAATTTCCTAATATTTCATTTGCTTTATTTGATGGAACTTTTCTTTTACTTATAACTTTGATTTCCATTTTATAATTATATTTATTTAAAGTTATAAAAAATATTTATTTTATAATTTAAAATGTTTTTTTTTCGTTAAGTAAAAAAAAAAAAACGAAAAAAATTAAAAAAATAAAATTAAAAAAATAAAAAATAAATTAATCTTTTTTTTTATTTTTTTTATTTTTTTTTTTTAACGAATACATATTTGGTTAACTTTCATTTTTAGTTCATAACAGTGGTTCTATTTAATTAAGATAAATAAATAAAAAATATAATTGAAAATATTAAAAAAAAAAAACACATAATTGGATTTTGTGATTGTTGTTTACAATTACCAAAACAATTAATTTATTATTTTTTTTATTTTTACAATTTATACATGTTTTAAAAAATAAATTAAATATTATTTTTAATATTATTATATTGTTATTATAATTATATTATTGCTGCTTATGATTATAATTTATTTGAAGTTGTTAATTTGAAAAATCCCAAATTTTAACACTGGAGTCTAAAGATCCACTAATAATCATATTGCTTTTTAATTGCATTGAGACTACAGAGCCATGATGACCTAATAAACAATGTGAGGGAGTTGATTCCATTTTTTTAATTTGCCAAATTTTAATCGACATATCACTTGAGGTTGTTACCATTTTATCTCTTTTAATTGATAGTGCCCTAATTGATCCCTCATGAGCGGGTATTTCGGCAATTACATAGGGTCTTGGAGATGTTATCATGTATCTAATATCTGATACCCTTAGGACTCCGTCATCCCCACCAGAAACAATAAAATGGTTTGAGAGGGACAAACAATCAATATTAACACCATGTTCGTTAATGCATAGTACCATTTTTGGAGGTGCTCTGATATCCCATAATCGAATTGTATGGTCAGCTGAACCAGATGCTAATAGGTCAGGGTGTTCAGTCGATACACCTGAAAGGCAAAGTATTGATTCATTGTGTTTTCCTATATCAGAAACAAAGCATGTTCTTTCGATATCCCATTGCTTTATTAATGAATCACCACCGCCACTATATAGATGTTTAAGTTGTTTATCTGGTTGTGTTGTCCAAACGGTTCCTTTGTGACCTTTTAAAAATGTACCATCGATAAGTTTTGAATGGGATTGTTGAGGTTGTCGAGGAAATTCAGTTGACATTTGTTGTTTACTTGTTTTTAAATTGAATGATCTTGCTGTTTTATTATTGAAATTTATATTGTTATGATTGTTGTTAAAATAGGTGCTATTGGTACCACTACTGTCATTGCCACTAGATGAGCCGCTATGATTATCTAGTCCAGTTCTATCTTCTCCATGACCATTTGATGATTCCATTCTATCAAATTCTTCTTTGTCAATATCGCTAACCATAATTGTACCATCTTGGCTAGAGCTTATACATTTGATCTTGTGAAAGTTCTTTGATGTTTTCAAATGAGTAGACCATATCCAACCATCATGACCTCGGATGTTCATTACTGGTTCAATTGAAAGCTTTCGATTTGATTTGGATGGGGCTTTAAGTTTCCATAGCTTTAGTTCTCTGTCGAATGATCCAGTGACTAGCATATTTGATTTTTGTGATAAACAAAATATACCCCCAATGTTGGTATCCAAAGAAGTTACAGAGTATTTGCCATTTTTCCAATTTTTATTTTCTTTTTTATTTTTTAAATATTTTGATTTCCAATTTTCATTATAACTATTATTATTATAATTGCTATTTTTATTACAGTTATTACAATGATTAGGTGGGTTTTTGCAGAAACCGAAATGATTTAATTTATTATAGTTTTTATATTTTTTAAAATATAGTTTTCTCCATAGATTATTGTAGCTGTTTATTAGTGAATAAAAATGATTGTTTATAAGTGATAGTGATATTATATCTTTATAATCTAAATTGGATAGTATTTTTGAAAATATTTCATTTGGTAGAATGAATAAAAAGCTTTCGTATTGCTCTATAGTATTGATCCTTTTTTTCTTTTTTTTATTTTTATAGTTATTTATATTAATATTAATGGTATTGTTACTGTTTAATAATAAATCTCTTTTTAAATAGTTAAAGATGGTCTCTAAATTACTATTACTTGAATTTATTTCGAAATTCATTTTATATGATTATTAGATTGTGTTCTCTATATTATATAAAATAGTATCTACTAAAAAAAATTTTGAATTAATATTTATAGTTATAAAAAAAAAGAAAAAAAAAAAAAGACAAATATAATTTTCTTTTTTTGTTTGTTTGTGATTAATATGTAAGTGTCATTTCATTGTTAAAGAGAAATTGCACTGTATTATTGGCTGGTTTTGTAAAGAATTGCTATTTTAATAATATTATTTTGTTGTAGAAAAAAAATGGTGTGTTAAAAAAATTAAAAAAAAAAAAAGAAATTTGGTTTATTTTATAAAAAAAAAAAAGGGTGAATTATATATATAAATTCATTTTATATTATTTTCTATAATAGTGTGTTTGAATATTTATTATAAATATTTTAAATACATGTATAGATAAATACATACATTTGGTTGAAAATTAAATTGATTTAAATTAAAAAAAGAAAAAAAAAAAAAATTTCTATTTGTTTATTTTTTTACCTTTTTTTATGGTATTGTTGTTGCAATATAATTACTATAACCCTTTCGAGTGTGTTTTTATTTTTAGGTAAACCAAAAATTCAAAAATAGATGAAACACACAAAGAGTGGTGAACAAAAGAAAAAAAATTATTTACAAATTTTTTATCAATAGTGTGGGTATGTGTGAGTTATGTGTGTTTTTTTTTATAGGTATTTAAAAATAGTGTTTTATGTTATAAATAAAATATTTATTTACTATTGAATATGGAAAGTATATAATTGGGAGGTGTTATTTTTTTATTTATTTTTATAAAGCCTTATTTGTTTTTTGTGTAAATATTGCTTTTTTTATTCAGTTATGTGTGTGGCTATGTGTTAACTCTTACAATTATAAAAATTCATTTTTTTTTTTTTTTTTTGTGTTATTCTATTTTTCATATGATGATTTAGATAAATAAATAAAAAAAACAAAATAAAATATAAATTAAATATTTCTATAAACATTTAAAATTCATAAAATGTTAATCTGTGTAATGTTTAATAAATCCTCTTATAGAATTTTAATTTAATTTTTAAAAAAAAAATTTTAAAATTAAAAAAAAAAAAAAAATTATTATAATTAATTTATTTATTATATCAAGAGATCCTAAAAAAAAAATTATTTCATTTTAAATTTCCCCTCAAATAGTTATTTTTGTTTCTGTGTGTTTGTGTGAGTGAGAAATAATTGTGTGAGTGGGTAATGAAAATATGTTTTTTTATTAGGTTATAACACAATATTCTCTCTTAATATCATTTAAAAAAAAAAAAAAGATATTAATATGTTATTTTAATGGAAATGTAATACTCTACCCAAAAAAATAGATTTATTTCCCAAATTTATATAAAACGATATTAATAAAAAAAAAAAAAAAAAAAAAATTGTTTTTTTAATATTATTTTTTTTTATTTCATTGTATTTTTTATTATTTGTTATTTGTTATTTGCTATATGTTATTTTAATTCTTTTTTATTTATATTAAATATTTAAATTTAAAATTAAAGAAATTTAATACTTTTTTTCAAAATTATAATATTATTTATTTTTTTGAAAATTGTATTCAAATTTATTTTTCAAAATAACAATAAAACAAAAAATAATTATCTATATATTTTTTAATATAAATTATAATTAAGAAAAGGGTAAATAAAAGTATCTTTCTATTATCATAAAAAAACGAATTAAAAAATAAAAATTTTTTAATTATTTTTTTAATTTTTTTAAATTTTTTTAATGTATTTATAAAAATAATTTATTATTTTTTTTTATTTTTTTAATATTACACCTCTATATTAAAAATATTTTATTAATTTTTTTTTTCTTTTTCTAAAACTTTATAATGTATATAATAATAAACAACATAAATCCACTAAATTTACTATTATCATCATAATTAGTTATTATATTTAAAAGAATAGAATAATATTAATAATAATAAAAATCAAATAAAAATCAAAAAAAAAAAAAAAAAAAATTGTATACAGACTTTTTAATCAAATCACATTTAAAAGGGAGAAGGGGTTCGGGTTTATCACCAAAACAAAAAAATAAAGAACAATAAATAAAGATGCCAATTAACTCCTCCTTTAGACCTTCCTCCCCATATGATAAACAATATAAACAAAAGCAACAAAACAATAACGAAGAGAATGAAGAACCAAAAGATCAAGTTAAAATAAATGATCCCAATAATAATAATAATAATAATAATAATAATAATAATAATAATAATAATAATAATAATCATAATCATAATAATAATAATGGTCTAGTTGAAAATAATATCATTAATGTTAATAATAATGATAAAAGCAACAATAATAAAAATAACCCAGATACTGATCCATCAGTTTATCAATTACTTCAAACTTCTATTCAATTAATTTATCAAAGTAGATTATGCTCGAAATATGGTGGTTCATCTAACCAAACACCTCAATCATCACCTTTCTTATCACCAAATAATGATATACCCGATGTCTTTAATATTAAACAGTTCGAAGGAGGTTTATTTCAATCTAAAACCCTATCCCCAAATGATTTAGGCCCATATATCAACAAAGAAGTAAGTAACTATTTTTTATTAATTTATAAATACAAATTAACATTATCTTTATATTATTTTTTATTTAGATTCATTTAGAATATGTTGAAATTAATGAAATTAATAGAGATTTAACATTATGGTGCGATCATATTTTATCTAGCCCATTAAAGATTGATATATTTTTATGTACATTTAATCAGGAAACAAATGAATATAAGCATTCTTTATTAGAAAGATGGATGTTTTCTTTTACACCAATTGATTTTATGCAACAGTTTAATAAAAACCTATTAATTTCAACATCATCCGAAGATTTAGGTATTGGAATGACAACACACCAGCCACCAACACAATCGCTATCCTCTTCTTCAAATCCAATAAGTCATAGTAACCATTTTGATTCACCACCTTCCCTCGAACTCTCACCATCAAATATACAAACATCACCTTTATCAGCATACAACCAAACAATAGCACTACTAAACAAACACAACCAACTATTAAACCAAGATATATATTCATCAGTTTTAATTAAATCACTTTATTATACATTATCATCGATGCCTTTATATCAAAGTCTAAAAAAACATCAACAAATGGGAAACTCTAGTATAATACCACCCTTACCAAAAATCAAGTATGGTATATCCCAAAATTTTCCACCTCCATTTAATTTTAAACCTGAGGAGTTTTCTCATTTGGTGAAATTAAATTTTCCCCAATATGAAACCTCCAAAGGTTCAATTAACTTATCTGTACAATTTCCAAACTCCTCAATTCCAATTATAGATGGTACAATTTCTTCAATTGTAATATATCCTTCAAGATCTTGTTCGTCAAACTTAATTTGTCATATCAATAATAATAATAAAAATAGTAAAAACAATCAAAGCCAATCACTATCTATATCACAACAATTACAATCATTACCACCATTAAAGCAACTAATTCAGCAAAAATCAAAAAATGTTAGTAACAACTTAACAAAATATTTTCAAAATAATAATAATGAAAATATAAATAATATTACCAGTAGTAGTCACTTGATAGATGAAAACATTAAACCAAACTCTCCATCACCATCCACATCGACATCGACATCACCATCATCAGCACCAATATCCATACCAAAATCGAATTCACCCTCCTCACCCTCATCAAAAGCAATTGATATTTCAAATATAAATAATAATAACAACAATAATAATAATATTGGTGATAATAAAGAAAATAAAGATAAAATGATTTTACAAAATATTGGCCATTATCAACATCATCACCCAAAATCAATGTCACCATTAAACAATAGTAATAACTATTCATTTGAATCATTTGCATCACAATTCTCACCTGCAAGTTTTAAATCATTTCCATTTTCACCAACAAGCCCACCACTTAGTTCATTTAGTTTATTAAACTCACCAAATAAAAATCAAATCTCTCCACCATCATCCCCCTATAGAGTTGGCCATAGGCCACTATTTTTTGATGGTTTGTCACCATCATCAATTAGTGGAGGCTCACCAAACAAATTTATGAAATCGCCCACATCTTTTTATTCATCTCCATCTCAGGAAACCTCGAGCCATTACCACCAACCCATGACATTTGGATCATTCCAGGAATCACTTTTAACTGGCAATATGTCAAATACACCATCTACTAAATTTGATGGCTACCTAGCAAATCTAGGTGTCTCTGGTAAAGACTATATACCACCCCACAAGAAAATACCATTTTCGGCTCTTTATTATCATATTGACCATGATACTCCATACGTTGCTGATATTGAAATTGGCGAAAAAGGCTTTAGGGTACCATCAAAAGGCTTGATTCAACTAACTCTATTCAATCCATTCAATACCCCAATTAAAACATTTTTAGTAAATTTCGATTTAACAGATATGAACCCAGAAACCAAAACTTTTATTAGACAAAAAATTATATCATTTAATAATAATAATAATAATAATAATAATAATAATAATAATAATAATAATAATCAATTAGCGTCATCATTAAACTCATTAAATATTTCCTCAACATCAACATCACCATTAAACAGTAATAATAACATAACAACAAATCAAAATATTTTAAAATATGCGATTCATTTAAGATTTGTTTGTTTAAAAAAAAGAAAATATTATTTATACAAGAATATTAGAGTTGTATTTCCAAATAGAGTTCCCGATGAAATGGAAAAGTTAAAAATTATTTACGAATATCCTCCCGATCCAAAATATTACCTTATAAATAAATAAAAAAAAACAATTTATAAATTGTATATACCAATTTTTTTTTTTTTTAAATAAAAAAGTGTATAAACAAAGATGGCTATTTTAATTTTAAAAATATAAAATATATAAAAAATATAAAAAAAAACAAATAAAATAGATATTTTTTAAACTATCCATGAATTTTTTTTATTTTTTTTATTTTAGAGGATAATATTTGATTGTTTAAAAACCAATACCCTTTATTCAATTACGTGGCTACCAGATAATGGGTGTGATCTATCTAAAACGGTTTCTTTATCAAATTTGGATTTTGAAAGAATTGTAATATCTGCATGGAATGGTTGTAAAAGAGCTTGGGCATCTCCAAGATTAGCGATCTTTTTACCCTTTTCAATAATACCGACACCTGGACCAATCCAACAAAAGAAGATATCTCTAACTGTGGTTTTTAATGTTCCTTTCTCTTGAATATTACCAATTCTAATCAAACCATATTGAATTTGGTCATCCTCTAAATGATCTTTAATATCATCAACACCACCTTCACCACCAGCACAAAAATGAACAGTACTTGGGCCTACATAGTTTAATAATAGCCAACCACTTGTTGAATTAATGTTGAATAAAGCAGCTTGAGCCTCTATAATTAAATTTTATTTGATTTTAAAAAAATTAATATATTTTCTCTAAATATTAAAATATAAAGCAGTAGTTACCTCTTAGCTCTGATTCATTATCTAATTTTAATGGCATTTTAATATAAAAACAAATATTTGTATAATAAAGAAAAATAAAAATTTTGTGTGATTTATATACAAAAAAAAAAAAAGAAAAAAAAAAAGAAAAAAAAAAAAAGAAAAAAAAATTAATTAAATTATAATCAATTACAATTAAATTAAAAACTGTTTGGTGGTTGTTTTTTATTTTTTCCTTAAAGGAACCTTTAAAATTTGAACAAAAAATAGGTGGGTAAAAAAAAATACCCCATTTTTTAAAAAAAAAAAACTCAATCATAATAATATATTTATTTTTTTGTAAAATGGCACTTGCTTTATTTAAAACCCCCCTTCGATAATTGGTATGTTCAAATAAAAAAAAATTTTATAAAAAATAAAAAAAGATTTAGCTTATAATAATAATAATAATAATGGAAATAATGATAAAAATTAACTTTTTTTTTTTTTTTTTTTTTTTTTTTCATTTTTTTTTTTTTGCCTTTTTGTTTGAAACGTCATATTAATTTTTGCAAGAAATTAATTTAAATTTTCTAATAATTTAAAACAATTAATAATTTATAGTTATATATTTACAACAAATATTTAACATTATTAATTATTTAAATAAAGAATCATTATGATTATGATTGAGATAAAAAAAAAAAAAAAAAAAAAAAAAAAAAAAAAAAAAAAAAATTTTTGAATTTCATTTTTATTTTTTTTTTTTTTTTAAATTTTTTCATTTTTTTTTTATTTTTTGTTTTTGAATTTTTTGAATTTTATTTTTTTTTTTAAATTTTTTCATTTATTTTATCATTAATATTGCAATAATATTATATTATTTTTTTTTGTTTTAAAAAAATTTATTATTTTTTTATTTATTTCAGATCAATAAAACCTAAAATTAGATCAAAAATCAAAAAACAATCAAGATTTAGAAAAAATAATAATATTATAATAATAATATAAAAAAAAAAACAAATAAAAATGTTATCATCACTAAGAACTGTTTCAAAAAATATTATTACCAAGAATACATTAAACAATGGTATTTTAAGAAATTTTGCATCACAACAACAACAATACAGCAGAGATTACCCAGTTGTCGATCATACATATGATGCTGTTGTTGTTGGTGCTGGTGGTGCTGGTTTAAGAGCAGCTTTAGGTTTAACTGAAAAAGGTTTCAAGACTGCATGTATCACTAAATTATTCCCAACTCGTTCACATACTGTCGCAGCACAAGGTGGTATTAATGCCGCTTTAGCCAATGCCGATGATGATGATTGGAGATGGCATGCATATGATACCGTCAAGGGTAGTGATTTTTTAGGTGATCAAGATGCCATTCATTATATGTGTAAAGAAGCTGTCCCAACCGTTTTAGAATTAGAACAATATGGTGTCCCATTCAGTCGTATGGAAGATGGTCGTATTTATCAACGTGCTTTTGGTGGTCAAAGTAAAAATTTTGGTAAAGGTGGTCAAGCTACACGTTGTTGTGCCGCTGCTGATCGTACCGGTCATGCTCTTTTACACACCCTTTATGGTCAAGCCGCCAAACATAACACCAAATTCTTTATTGAATACTTTGTTACCGATTTAATTATGGAAAATGGCGAATGTCGTGGTTGTGTTGCTATCAATTTAGAAGACGGTACCATTCATAGATTCAGATCTCATGCTACTATTCTTGCTACTGGTGGTTATGGTAGAGCTTACTTCTCTGCTACCTCTGCTCATACTTGCACTGGTGATGGTAATGCTATGGTTATTAGAGCTGGTCTCCCATGTCAAGATTTAGAATTTGTTCAATTCCATCCAACTGGTATTTATGGTAGTGGTTGTTTAATCACTGAAGGTGCTCGTGGTGAAGGTGGTTATCTTTTAAATAGTGCTGGTGAACGTTTCATGCCACGTTATGCACCATCTGTTGCTGATTTAGCCTCAAGAGATGTCGTTTCACGTTCCGAAACCATGGAAATTAGAGAAGGTCGTGGTGTTGGTGCCGAAAAAGATCATTGTCTCCTCAATCTTACTCATTTATCACCAGAAATCATTGATGAACGTCTTCCAGGTATCAGAGAAACTGCTATGATTTTCGCTGGTGTTGATGTTACCAAAGAACCAATCCCAGTTATTCCAACCGTTCATTACAATATGGGTGGTATCCCAACCAACTACAAGGGTCAAGTTGTTAACCACGTCAATGGTAAAGATGTTTTAGTTAAAGGTTTATATGCTGCTGGTGAATCTGCTTGTGTCTCTGTTCACGGTGCTAATCGTTTAGGTGCTAACTCACTCTTAGATATCGTTGTTTTCGGTCGTGCTGTTGCCAATGAAATCGGTGAAACCCTTGCCAAGAATACTCCACACAAACCACTCCAACCAAATGCCGGTGAAGAATCAATTGCCAACATTGATGCTATGCGTTTCGCCGATGGTACCCGTTCAACTGCTGAAATTCGTCTTGAAATGCAAAAGATTATGCAAAGAAATGCTGCTGTCTTTAGAGATGGTGAAGTCCTCAAAGAAGGTGTTCAATTAATCGACAAATGTGCTAAATCACTTAAAAACGATATCAAAACAACCGATCGTACTATGATTTGGAACACTGATTTAATCGAAACTTTAGAACTCCAAAATCTTATGACCCAAGCCGTATTAACTATGCACTCTGCTGAAGCTCGTAAAGAATCACGTGGTGCCCATGCTCGTGAAGATTATAAAGAAAGAGACGATGTTAACTGGATGAAGCACACCCTTTCATATTTAGATGTTGATACTGGTAAAGTTACTCTTCTTTATCGTCCAGTAGTTTCAACAACTTTAGATGAATCAGAAATGGAATCAATCAAACCATTCAAGAGAGTTTACTAAAACCTTTTCAACTTTTTTAATCATCACACCAATTTAATTTTTTCAAAATCAAACAAAAACAACAATACAAAAACAATAATCAATTCATTTATACATTTAAATGAATTTAATATATCATCACTATTTAAAAGTAGTTATACCTTTAAAAAAATTTTAAAAAAAAAAAAACATTTAATGTTTATATATGTAAATCATAAAATAAAAAAAAAAAAAAATTTATATAAAGTTTATATTTTTATTTAGTAATAAAACAAAATTTTTAATTATAATTCCAATATTTTATAAATTGAAAAAGAAGAAATGCCACATTGTAAAAATAAAAATATGCTTTTACAATTTATATTTTTAGAAATACATGCAAAAAAAATGTGAAATAATGTATTTTAATAAATTACATATTTTTGCATAATTTGGTTTATTTATACACTAAAATGTAAAAAAATTATTGCACAACATATTTTAAAAAACAGAAATAAAATTAAAAATCATTTTACACACAAATTTTTAATCATCCTCCACCTACGAAGTAACCGTTCCAAAAGAGGATTGGAACGAAGTTCCAAGTGGTTTTCTTGCTAGAGGTTCTTATCGTGCTAAAATTCAATTTACAGGTAACGATCAAAATGTTAATTTTGAAGTTCCATATAGTGTAGAAATTATAAAAGCATGGGAGTAAATAAATTATAATAAAAAAAATTGTACCAGAAAAATAAATAAACAAAAAACTAAATTAAAAGTACACTAAATTTAAAATTTCTTTTTTATTTTTATTTTATAGATTTCTAAAAATAGCCATATACTTACTTTGCAAATCATTTGTAAAATATTGATAATAATTTTGAGATAGACAATGTGAAATACTGGTAATTGTAATTCAATATAACCAAAGTTACCTACATAATCTACAATACTTAGACCACATGTTGTACCGTTTTGTTGTTTATCGCTATTATCTAATTTATTATTTAAAACACCATATTGTTGTGGTTTTCTCCTTAAAAGATCGACTAATTCTCTATTTACAAGTTGAACAAGTGATAATCTAACTATATTTTCTTCTGATAATAAACCAAACTGATGATTACCACTAAAATATTTTATAAAAATTAAAAGTCAAAATAAGTTATTTCTTATGAAAAATAATATTGGGTGGTTTTTGAAAATTTACATTTTCTTTGGACAATCATCTTCTTTTATTATTTCCAAAATTGATTATATTTATATATGACCGTTTTTTATTATTTATTATTTGTTATTTTAAAATTATTATAAAAAATGAAAAAGAAAAATGAAATCTAAATATTATATATAACAATGAGCAATTAATGGAAATATAATACAAGTTGTAGCATTTAGAGGCATACCATTGGACAATGTTGCATTAAAAAGGGTCAAGAATTTATAATTTCTTTATTTTTTTTTAGTTCAAGGTGTTGATACTGGTAGCACTTAAATAACAACCAAATTAACTCACAACAAATTTTCCCTACCCTCTCATTAAACAAAAATTCAATAAAAGAGCCATTCCAATTAAACCCAAGTTCTTTACTTAACGCTATTCCAGGTTCAAAAATACAATATTTTCTTTAAAAACTTCATATATTATAAAAAAACTCTTTATTAATTTATTTTTTTTATTATTGTTATTATTAAAAATTAAATAGTTGGGGAAAATTAATGAAAGATTAATTGTTCCAAAAGATTATATAAAAATATTATTATCTAATATTATTATTATTATTATTATTATTAATTGAATTTTTTGAAGATTATTAAAGTTTTCTCCATCTGGATCATTATAACTAGAAAAGGATTTAATTGTAAAATCTGGACAAAATAACATTGCTTTTGTAATGATTGCAATATTTTTGGCGGCAATAATATCACGATGGCCACAGCCATATAACTCTGAAGCCTTGCATTCCAAAATTTTGTAGTTTCCATTGGACTTTACTAATTTTAAGTTATGATCAAATTCTTTAACTGTGGATTCGGGGAAATTTGGGAAAATATTTCTAAGTTGTGGTTCATGGGTGATCACACATAATGGACATCTTTGGGAGGTAACATGTTCATCTATTGTCAAAACAACAAAACCAATTTATAGCAATATCACATAATTTATTTGCTCAAATGCATTTTCACCAACACCCACAACAACACCCATTATATTTAAGGCCAAGCGATCAATCACCATCACATAAATTTGGTTTAACAACTGCCCCCTCTCACCTTAGAACACAAATTCAAATTATTAATTTCTTCTCAATAATTTTATACCCCAAATTCATCTCCATCCACAACCTCAGAAGAAAAAGTATGGATTTTAGATCACAATATTTTGAAATAATAATATTAGAGAAATAGAGGAACAACAATTGGCTATAATTGGGTGCTATCATAGATTTTGTTATAAGGCAATTAAGATGAAGATGAAGATGATCTTTTAGATAATGGATACTCGATTAATATTGAAATAGATGGCGATTAAATTAATAGTTTAAACACTTTATTCAATGTTTCTTTTAAGAAATCGATGAAGATATAAATTATTAATAAAATCATTTCATTCAATGTTTCAATTATTGAAATAGATGAAATTAAAAAAAAGTCAACTACAATCACATCTTTATCAGCACTTGTATAAGCAATGGTAATTTTAGCAAAACTATTCTTTCTCTTTCGGAATCATTACGTTCGTTATTTCAAACTCAACATTGGGGTATTCTTAAGGTAACTATAATGTTATTATTTATATAATTTTTTATATATTATTAAATAAAACTAATATTTAATTTTAATATTTTTTAGTTAAATTCTTTTTCAGTGCCAACACATTTTAAGTCACAAATAAAACATTGGAGTTTTAGTTTATTCTTTGTAATTATGGCTTTTAAATTGGTCTTTATAAACTTAAATGATCCATCTACTATTTAACCGCCTTCACCGCGCCAATACAAATAAATTAAAATTTAGAATTTTTTTTTCATAATTATTATCTTCATTTTCCTCCTATTATCGTTAGCATATTAATATATCTTTAGAATAGAAAATAAAATAAAAAAATAAAGTTTTTTAAAATATTTAAAAAATGTTTAATCTTTATTTTATAAATATAAAAATGAACTCTGGATTGATGATAAAATTAATTTGAAATAAATATACTTTTTTACTTGCTATTTGTTAATTTAAAAATTATAATTGAAGGTGATGGTGAATATATATATAATATGAGAATACCAAAGAAATCATTTGATTGGTTTGACAATTTGGCCAAATTAGTTTTGAACTTGATATTCTCTTCAAAAGTTTTGCACGAGATAATGGCAGGTAAGGGCACTAGTTCTTTACTCATCTAAAAGGTTTTGGTGTTATATTAAGATTGAACATTTTTTTTCTTTTTTTTTTTTACTTCCCTGTGGCTACCGCCCCCTGGTTCTTGATTTCCTCATATTCGATTCCACATCCATGGAAATAAGAGGCGATTGGTCTTCTTGATTGTTGTGTATACCATTTGTTTTCTTTAATTTTATAATAATAATGATTTGATCCTCTATCACCAATAAGGTAGATAACAGAATCTGAATTACTGTCAGTGCCGATGATCAAAGAGTACCCAAATCTCATGTTCTCTATTGGGGGGTATTCTAAATATTTACCCTTTAATTTAGTATGGATATTTAAGGTGTAAAAGTGTTCGATGGTCATGATGTAGATGTAAACACCATCAAAAGCAATACCTTCAACTCTGTTGTCGTGATCATCGAGATAATCTACAAACATGGTGGTTTTTTTGGTTTCAAAACTGAGGACTTCGATGTTGTTAATAACGGTAAAATATGAATCATCTCTGGTTTTATTGGTACCGCCAATAATAAAGAGTTGTTTATCGTGGACTAATGTGAAGCAATAGTATCTTGGGAACTTCATTTTGGTAACCAATTGGAATTGGAGGGTTGGTTCTTTGCCAGTTGCACCATGGTTGATTATACATCTATCAATTCTATCTGAAGTAACATTAAATTTGACACCACCAACTAAATAAATTGAATCTTGGCCATCATAAGCTGCGGACATTGATGAGCCACCACCTGATGGAATATTACCACCATTTTCCCAACGACCAGTTGTAATATTGAACTTTTCATAAGATTCGAGTGAATCGTTACCGCCGAATACGTATATATAATGTTTGGCAACTATAGTGGCATCTGTAACACATGCTCTTTTATGTTTTGTGGGTGGCATGAAAGCCCATTCGTCTCGAATTGGGTAATATTTAATACAACGAGATAAATGTAACTTGTCCTCCATACCACATAAGAAATACAAGCATCTAATTTTTGGAATTGTATTTGGTATAAAATCTTGTTTTTTGTTTACTTTATCTTCTTTTTGAACTGGTTGTTTGAAATCTGATGGAGATAAACCCTCTTGTGGCTTAGCTGAAGAAGTTGGGCCTCTTGGAGTGTTTTCAAGCATTGATTTATATATGGCAATTGAGAGTGGTTGGTAACTATTTGTAGATGACGATGAAGAGGAAAGGGATGTATTGAGGGATAGTGGAGGAGGATTTAAGAGAAGAATCAACTCCTTACCAAATTGTGAATTTGAAAAACTGGGACTGTTCCAGTATTCTTGATAACATTGACAATCAGTTTCGATGCTATCACAGCTACAATAGTATGGTACAAACAAATATTTAGATAAAGATTTGATTTTTTGTAAGATTTCTTGGTTGAAATGGAGTTTATTTGCGTGCTCTGGAAATGATGAAATTTGTTTTTTGCCATCATTTATTAATGTGTCAATATCTTGAATACTTTTTACTAATAAAATTGAGCCATATATATCTTTTTTAATATCCGATGATTCTAATTTGGCAAATAACTCAATATCTTTTTTCTTTTGATCAGTTTTTTTAATAAAATCGTCGAACTCATACTTAATAATTGAATTTGCCTCATCAATATTTTTCTTGTCACCAAACTCCTTTATCTGGAGGAATTTGTGAAAATCGGCATATACCATTTGTGTTTTTAGTTGACCATTTAGTTTTGATTTTTCCCACTTCTCTTTACACTCCGCTAAACTGTCTAGCACCTCTTTGAATATTTCTGGGTCCAGTTTAAAATCCTTCTTTACGGCTTCGACCCTTTTCTTAATGCTTTCTTTGATCTCCTCTGAGCCCTCTGCATCTACCATGGAATGACCACTGTGTTGTTCAACTATGCATTTCTTGCAGACCGGTGTATTGTTACAGAGACATAATAGAGAGTAAGTTTCATCGGGGTGGAATTGGCATGGATGTTGTGATTTTAAATTACTTATATATTCTTCTACTACATCATTTAAAAACTCATCCAAGGAGAAACTTTTAATAATTTGGACACATACTGGGCATTTTGTGGCACTCGGATCTAAACTGTGTTTTATTGCGCTTTGAATGCACTCAAGACAGACCCTATGTTTGCAAGGTTTTATTTTTTGAGGTTGTTTTATAATACCGACACAAACTGGACACTTGATAGCCTTCATTAATTTACTTTACTATAAAATAAAAATGAATTAGTCATGTTGAATATTACAAAATATTAATTAAAATTAAAATGCATACCAATATAATTTTGTTTGAAAAATTTTAATGTTTTAATAAAAAAAAAAAAAAATTTTTTGTGGTTAATAAAATTTAAGTCCAAAAAAAAAAAAAACTTTTTTTTTTAATTTTTTTTATTGCCGCATATAAATTAAAAAAAAATAAATTATTAGTAACTTTCAATTTTCCACATTAATTTTTATAAAACTATTATTTTTAATTATTTTTTTATATTATTATTATTATTATCATTATTTTTATTATTTTTATTATTATTATTATTATAATTTCTATTATTATTTTTTATAATTATATTTTATAATTATCATAATAATAATTATAAAAATAATTATAATAGAAATTATAATAAACCTATAACTTTTTATTTTTTTTATATTAAATTATTTAATAACTAACCATAAAAATTATATTTTTTTTTTTATATTTTATTTGAATTAAATCATAAAAACTTATGATAATTTTTTTTTAAAAAACAAAAATTTCATCATAATACTTAATTTTTATAAACTTAAAAAAAGCTCTTCATTTTTATAAAAATTTAAACTTAATCAATCGAACTTAAAAAATTATTATTATTGAAATTAATATTGTTAATACTAGAATTGGTAAAGCTAATTATAGATGTAATTCAAGTAAATCAATAATTTAAAAAAATAATATTTTGGGTTATTTATTTTTTTAATATTTGTTTATTACATTTTTAATTATTACATATTTTAGAAAATATAGATACATTTCGCCATAATAAAAAAACCGAAAATAACAATTTAATATTAAACTATTTCGTTTTTATTTTATTTATTTTTTTTTTTTTTTATTTTTTTTTTTTTTTAATTTGTTTTTTTTATATTTTAAAAAAAAATATAAAAATAATTTTTTTTTTTTTTTTTCGTTTTTTCTTTCCATTACCTGGACCCTTAGACATAGTTATATAGTTTTTAATAATAATAGTTAAATTTATTTATATTAAAAATTATTACCACATTGTTTTTTTAACGTATATTTTATAAAATAATATTCGTATAATTATAGGTTTTTTTTTTTTTTTTAAACATAACACTACATTTTTAAATATAATAATAATAAATAATAATAAAAAATGAAATATATCGTTGTTACAGGTGGTGTATTAAGTGGTATTGGTAAAGGCATTATTGCTAGTAGTACTGCAATGATTTTAAAATCAATGGGCCTCCGTGTCACATCAATTAAAATTGATCCATATTTAAATATTGATGCTGGTACAATGAGGTATGTAATATTTTATTTTATTTTTTAAGAAATTAATTAATACTAATTTTTTATTTTGATTTTTTTTATATATTTCAAAGCCCATTCGAACATGGTGAGGTTTTTGTTTTAGATGATGGTGGTGAAGCAGATTTGGATCTTGGTAATTATGAAAGATTTTTAGATGTTAACTTAGGTAAAGATAACAATATTACAACTGGTAAAATTTACAATTCAGTTATCGAAAAGGTAGATATAAACCATAAGATAATTTTTTTTTAAAAAAAAAAAAAGAATTTAAAAATTAATAAAATTTTTTAAAATACAGGAAAGAAAAGGTCAATATTTAGGTAAAACTGTTCAAGTTGTACCACATATTTCAGGTGAAATTCAAAATTGGATCGAAAGAGTATCACATGTTTCAGTTGATGGTATTGATGAATCACCAGATGTTTGTGTTATCGAATTAGGTGGTACAGTTGGTGATATTGAATCTATGCCATTTACCGAAGCACTTCGTCAATTCCAATTCCGTGTTGGTCCAGAAAACTTTTGTTTAATGCATGTCAGTTTAGTACCAGTATTAGGTGTTGTTGGTGAACAAAAGACCAAACCATCCCAACAAAGTGTTAGAGAACTCCGTGCCCTTGGTCTTAGCCCAGATTTTTGCCTTTGTCGTAGTTCACAACCATTAACTCACGAAACCAAAAAGAAAATCTCATTATTCTGTCATGTTCCAGAAGATAATGTTATTGGTGTCCACGATGTCAGCAATATTTATCGTGTACCAATTCTTTTACACAGTCAAAACCTTCCAAATCTTATCTTAAAACGTTTATCTCTCACACCAAAAGTTGACATGACCAAATCTGTCAATGCAGGCGAAGATAACACCCCATATTGGATGAGTTCATGGAAAAATATGGCTGATCGTATGGATAAAGTTTCAAACGACTCATTAAACCCAATTCACATTGCCATGGTTGGCAAATATACAGATCTTTCAGATGCTTACCTTTCAGTTATTAAAGCTCTCGAACATGCCTCAATGGAAATTGACAGAAAGATGGTTATCGATTGGATAGAAGCAAGCAATTTAGAAAAGAAACACCAAAACACTAAAGAATATGACCAATCATGGGAAATGCTTCGTAATTGTCATGGTATTCTTGTTCCAGGTGGTTTCGGTGATCGTGGTATTGAAGGTATGATTTTAGCAGCTAATTATGCCCGTACTTCAGGTAAACCATATCTTGGTATTTGTTTAGGTATGCAAGTTGCCGTCATCGAATTTGCTCGTAATGTTATGGGTTGGGAAAATGCTAATTCAGAAGAATTTATTGCTAGTGGTATTGGTAAACATGTTGTAGTATATATGCCAGAAGTTAGCAAAACTCATATGGGTGGTACCATGAGACTTGGTTCTCGTGAAACCATTTTCTCAGATCCAACTAAAAAGATCTCACAACTTTATGGTATTACACAAGCTGGTCAAGCTGTTGAAGAACGTCATCGTCATCGTTACGAAGTTAATCCAGATGTTGTCGATGAAATCGAAACTAAAGGTCTTCATTTCGTTGGTAGAGATACTACCGGTGTAAGAATGGAAATTGTCGAATTAGAAGGTCACGATTACTATGTTGCTTGTCAATTCCATCCAGAATTCAAATCTCGTCCACAAAAACCAAGTCCACCATTCGTTGGTCTTATCCTCGCTTGTTGGAAACAAGATTTAAAGAAAAATGGTAATTTAGAAAGATATCAAGATATCACCAAAAAATGGAACCTCAACGAAAATATATAAATCATTAATTGTATACAAAGCTTTTTTAATTATACGAATAAATAAAATCTTTTTTTTTTTAAAAATTCACCAATTTTTATTAATCTAATATAATCGGTATTATAAAATAATACAAATATTAAAATAACAATGTAAATCACCTGATCATATTTGATTATATTTCTTTTTTTTATTTTTTTAAGAGTTACCTGTAAATTTAAATTGTAGTTTGGCATTAAAAATTTTATATAAACACTAAGTGTGGTCTTTTTTTATCCCCCATTTTATTAAATTTTTTTTTTTTGAAAACTTAAAAATAGATTAAAAAACTGTTTGTGACTTTTAAAATAGCAACATTATGACTTAATCTAAATTTATACAACTTAAATTTATTTATTTTAAACTGTGTAATTTCACTTTATTTTTAGTGCACTAATGTGTACTGGTCTGAAAATTTGCTTTTGGAAATCAAACTAACACAGGAGCAGTGCACATATTGAAATTAAGTTTATTATTCAATATTGAGAAAAAAATAATAAAGTAATATAATAATATTATTGTAATAATAACAATAGTAATAGTTATCATAAAAAATTATTGTTTGTTATTATATCTTCATATAATTTTTATTTATATTTATTTTTTATTGTTGTTTTGAGGTTAAGAAATAATAATTAATTGGTAATTTTGAGTTTTTAGTATTGATTTTTTCAATTAAAGTATCTAAAGCCATAACTAAAACTGGATGAATTGTAATGGTTGAAAGATTTGATTTAATATTTGATAAAAATTCAGAATAGTCAGTGTTAGAATTTTCATTTGCAATAATTGATGATAAAGTAACTAAATAGGTGTAGAAATTTGTAAAAACATCTTGATTAAAGGTTAACCAATGACTGAGAGCGCTTGTTGAGTTTGATTCACGAGTATTCTTTAACCAAGAGGTGCATGTTAAAAGTGAATCCATTAATTTCTCTTTAAGGTGATTTAATGGGGTTTTAGATTGATCCATTCTTTCAATTTGTTGGTTTATTAATTGAATTTTAACTAATTGCTCTTCAAAGTAATTGTCTTTTTCTTTGTCGAATAATACTTTGGAGTTTTGGAAGTCTTCATTAAAAATATTCTTTTTATTAATATTTAAAATATCGACATATCTTGATAAAATATAGTCATTATAGTTTGAAAATTGTAAAGTAAGATTGCTAAATATTTCTTCGAGGCATTTTGAACCTTCCATTATTACAATTTCGCTATCATTGATTGTTGAGGAGGATGGGTTTTTAACTAAATATATAACTCTTGATGCAAGAATAGCAGTAAAGTCTCTAAGAGGTTCATCGTCATCATCAATAAGTAAAGAGAGTGCGAACCAACTTTCAATTGCAACTTTGGATAACAATTGATTATCGATTGAGAGTTTTGTAAAGATTAAATCGCCACATGCTTCGATAGCTTCGGTAATGGCTTGTCTTAATTCTAATGGTTGGTGGATTTGAGAGAATTCTTTAACCATTTTAACCCAATTGTCTAAAACTTTAATTTGTTGTTCGTTTAATGAAATATTTTCAGTAATTCTTTGTTGATAAAATTGTTTTAAATAGTGACCAAAAATAATAATGGATTCTTTTTTCATTGAATTTGATTGACCCCATATAGTATTACATAAGAGTTCATAAAAATTAATATTTGATTGAGTATTATTGGTACCTTCAATATTTTCGATTGATAATGGAAGTGAAAGGAATGATAAAAGTTTGAAAGCTTTCTTTCTGCAGTTTATATTTGGGTCATTTAAAATGATTCTAATAATTTGGTTTTGTAATTCTTGTTGATCTAAGACTTGATTAACTATCTTTTGATTCTTGAGTAAGAATTTCATTGTAAATATTTTAATTTCATATAATGAATGTAAGAAAAGTTTCATTAAAATTTCGTTATATTGTTTTCTTTGTTCGGCTGTAGTATCATTTTTGCATTGTCTCTTCAAGTCTACTAAAACAAATTCTGAAATACTTTCGATCCAAGTGTAAAACATTGGGAGGCATGTTACTTTTGTATCAAATTTGTTGGTTAAAAGAATTGATTTGCTCTTTTCGATGATTGGTGAGATGATTTCTTGTTGGTTTTCTAATAGGTTTGAGCTATTTTTTTGTAATTCGATTAAAATAGAATAGAAAATAAAGCCTAATGGAAGAGTTTTAGACTCTGTGATCCAAAGCATCTCTGGAATAAATTCGGATACGATAGTTGAAATGGTTTGTTCACGTTCTTTTGGATTTATGGTTGGAAGATGGCCTTTAACTAAATGATAGATTTGTAATAAAATACCATGTACCTTATTGGTGTTAATATTTGATTTATCGGTAGTTTCAAAATTTAATTTCTTTAGTAAATCTCTAACAAATGGAATTAATTCGATTGTTGAAATTAATGGTACAAGTGCACGAGCTGAAATTTGACGAACCATATAGTTTGAGAATTGACAACATTGTGAAATTAATGGTACAAAAGCAGCTGGAGCTAATGGATCATTTGGGTGATCAATATTTGATGGTTGGAGTCTAGAGAATAAAACGAGAATGGCATAAACACTAGATTGAATGATTTTACCTTCTTCGATCAAGGTGTTTTCTTTGATGAATGTTAATGATCTCTTAAAGTAATCTAATAAGAATGAATAGACTGATGGCATTCTAGAGAAAAAGTGATAAAAAGTAGTGGTATTGATTATAGAGTTATCTGCTTTTAATTTTTTAGTACCAATGATTCTATCGACTAAAACACTGAAAGCCATAGTGGCAGAGTTTCTAACTGACCATGATTTAGAAGAAAAAGCTTTAATAACAGTGATTAAAGTACGTGCTAAATATTGATCCAATTCTTGAATGATGGCTTTGGCTCTAAAGATACTCTTTAAAATATTAATAGAGTGAACTTGTGGTAAATAAATATTCTTTTCTACATTGTTATTTGGTTCATTTGAATCAAAGGCTTCATCGGTGTTGCCAGCAAGAGTTAAAAGATTTTCCATAACTTGGTGGAGGAGATGATGTACTCTTAGATGACTAGTGGATTCACCAGTTAAAATACCAATGAAAGCAAATGGTAGACCAGCGGATCTTCTTGTAATTTGTAATGATTGTTCCTTAACACGTTCAAAAAGGAAATTAATCCATTTAGATGGTAAACAATTAAGTCTAGTATTGGAAGATTTCATAAGAGTTGAGCAAAGTACTTGGAAGCCAAGGTAGGTCTTTTCAATAGCTCCTTTATGACGTGATTGAAGGAGAATAGTAAAGAATTGGTCACCAATATCTTCAATTTGTTGAGTGGTAATAATACTTTGACTATCTTCGCTTTCTTTTGATGGCATATCAACTCTATCTAAAATGGTACCTAAAACTAAACTAATTTGTTTGGTACATTGCCATGAACAAACTGTAATAATTTGACCAACACCACCTTGTAAGTTTTGACCAGATTTGGCTGCTTCCTCTGATAAATCGCCACCTTCCTCTTCTTCTTCGTCATTTTGGTCCTCATTGTCTTCAAACTCTTCATCGGCCATGGATACAGATGATGCAAAGTTGTTTGCTAATCTTTCATCGTCATCGTAAATAACACCACTTGGAAGTGAGTTTGGTAAATTATCGTTCTGTTCTAATTTAGCTTGGTTTGGATTATTACCTTCTGGTGCTAAATCAGCAACAACTCTTAAAACAATACCTGAAACCAATTTCATTAATTCAATAATTTCTGCAACTAAATTCTTCCATTGTTTCTTTTGCTCTGGATTTTTATTGATATCTTGGAATGAAATTTCTGCGAGAACATAACGGAGTGAAAGAATTAAACCATGCATTGGTGCAAATTTAGCGGCCTCTAAAAGACTCTTGTTGGCAATTCTAGTTTGTGATTTTAAGATACGAAGAATTTGGGAGATAAATTCAAGAATAGCTGTGTTGATATCTGAATGGGTTGTAAATGTAACAGGGTTTGTAGTGCTTGAGTGGAAGATTGGTACTAAACCGTTTGGAATAACATATTTCTTTAAATAAAGTTTAAGAGCAAAGGCACCAGTATCACACTCTCTAGCTTTTGGACTGCATGCAAGTTTAACGGCCCATAAAAGGAATGGAATGATTTTTTCTTCACTTTCCATTCCTGGAAGTGGTGATGGGAATTTTAATAAAATATCTGTTGAAACTTCTCTGCATCTATCATAATTATCCCAAAGATTATTGACGAGGATTTCTGTTGATTCTCTGCTATAAAGTAAAACAGATTTCTTTTCGACGTATTCTAAAAATTCGAAAAGTGATTTCTTTTCTGGTGTATTATTACATTTTGAGCTCCAAATATCTACAAATTGGCTAAAAGCTTCGAGTGGTAACATTTTTCTTGGGAATGGGGCATCTGGATAAATATTGTAGGTAAATAATTGGCAACTCCAGTTAATGTAATCGATGAGATCTTCGATGGTCATATAACGATCGTCAGCACTGGCATTGGCATCATCTTTTTCAATTGAGATATTGGTGTTACTTTGAGCTCTAAAGACTTTACAACAGCTTTCTCTTAATCTTAACCAGAATCTGAATAGAGTTGATAATGATTGATTTCTAATGAATGGTGAGCTACCTTTGAGATTAAGTAAGATAAAGTTTTTGATTAATTTTAATTCACGAATTGTAACTCTTTCAGTTTGTTTTGGACTAACGCAAACCAACTCTAAGCCTAAAAGTCTTAAGGACTCATCTTGATTTTGAAGTGATTTTTCTATTAAGTCGTAGTATTTTGATTGTAATTTTCTGCCATCAATTAATGATAATTGTCTTGAGGAGTTTAATAAAGCAAGTGAAATTCTAAGACGAATGTTGTAGTTGATATTATTAAATAGATCTTGATTGGCTCCACTACTTCTATTGATTAAAATATCTAAAATTTTGAATAATGATTCTGGGAAAACTTTTAAGAGTACTGGTAATGCATAAACTATAATTCTGGATGATGTAACGCTATCGGTTTCTGTTAAAACTTCTAATAATGGATAGATCCAATACTGTTCGATTTTAGTTAATTCGCCTTCTTTTACCTCCATATTTGGTTCGTTGGTTGGTTTGAAATCTAACTTTAATTGTTCAATAAATAGCTCTAAAAATACTCTAACTGAGTTGCAAATGGTATGATCTATCATTGCTGAAAAAATATTTTTTAAAAAATTGCCTCTTAAATTGATCATAAAAATGGCCCCAACTCTTTCTAAAATGTATTTTAACAAAATGTATTTGTTCTATAATTTATAAATAAAAATAAAAAAACTATTAATATTTATATTTACTTTTAAAAAAATAATATATTAAATATTAAAAAATTACCTTTTGATACCAATCTTCGTCAATTAATCTAATTGTAATATTTTTAATAAATAATGATGAGTTTGAATTATCAGTATTAACGTCACAGCACTTGAAATGGATGGTCAAAAGTAAATCAAAAACTTCTGTTGCTAAAGTAGAAATATTATTGATAGTTGATTCCCAATTTCTCCATACCAACTCTAAACCCATATTGAAAAAGTTTTTAAAGAAATCTTCATAGTTGTTTAAATTTGGGAAAATATTTTGAATTAAATCTTCTTTTTTAAATGTTTTTTCTTGTTCTAAAATTACTAACCATTCTTTAATTTTTGATAAACATAGGTCAAAATATTCTAATGAAATAAATCTATTGTGTTGATCAACTGATCCAATACTATATTCGCAAATTCCTTTATAGATAATATTTAAAAAAATATTTTCATTTAATCTATAAAAAAAAAAGAAAGAAAAAAAAAAATTAATATTAATTTAATTATATTTTTTTTATATAAAATATTAATTTACTTACTTATTATAAATTGGTTTTGTTAATGATGAATAAATATTTCCAGTTAAACATAAACCTCTTAAAATTGAAATTTGATTAATTTCAGGGAATTTAATAAATTTAGAGTAGAATGAATTTTCGCTTTGATTTAAAATGTCTAAAATACTGGTGTTGGATGGTTCATCGGATTTAGTGAGTGATGATAAAATTTGTTTTTGTGATGATTCGGTATCATTTGAATAAAGTATAATAATTTCAGAAACTAAATAACCTGCATTGGTTCCTAATTGACGTGGGAATGTGGAGTTTGATAAAATTCTTTCAAGTTGTTTTGAAAGTGATTGCATTGATCTGAAAACCAAATTTTCATTGGAGTTGTTGTTGCTATTTACATTTTCTAATAAATTTATTCTAATTATATTTGAAAATCTATTGAATAATATTACTAAACCTCTGAGAGTATGCTCACAGTCATATAAAGTTAAAGTATCAGTATTTGATGATAATTCTAAATTTGAACAATATTGAGATAACTTTTCTTGAATAATATTGATAAATTTGAAGGTGTTGATATTTTCTTGTGGAATTACTAAATTTGAAATATCTACCAAAAAGCTAATGGCGAAAATCACACTTGATAATTTATAGTTGTTATCTAAAAGTTTTGATAAAGATTCTGCTGTTTTTTCATTTACTAAATCGACCAAATCTTTATTTCCTGTTAATAGAATAGAGTTGATAACTTGAGACATTGATTTATTAGCAGAGGCATTCTTTGAGCCATTTACAAACTGAACATAGTATATTAAGTCGATTATAATTTTAACTGTTTCAAATTCATTGATTTCCTTTTTACCATTATTTAAAAGTTTTGATGAAGCCTCAAGTTTTTTAATTTGAATTAATTGTTGAGCATTATTATTTGAACTTAAAAAATTTAAAACTATATCATTTAATGGTTTATTTGTTTGTTGTGAGGAAGTCTTTAATAATTCTCTATAGTTATTCTTCTTTGTTTCTTCAATTTCAATAAATTGTTCTTGTTCTAATTTTAAGTTTTTTGATTTTTGTTTATTTGCTTTCATTTTTTTTTTTTTTTTATATAATTAAATAACAAAAATTTGATAATATTTATAATTATTAAAAAAGAAAAACATATAAAGATTGTAAAAAAATATTACAGTTGAGGATATGATATTATTTTTTAATATTATTATTATTATTGTTATTACAAATATCTCTTTTAAAAAAAAAATAATGAAAAAGAAAAAAAAAATTAATTTTCGTTTTTTTTAAAAAAATAAAAAAAATAAAACCAAAAAAAAAAAAATTATTTTTAAATTATAAATTTAGATTCAAATACTATATATGCACAAAAATTACCGAAAGGAATATAAATTATTTACAAACTAAAATATAAATATAAAATATTTTTTATAAAGATAATATATTCCGAAATTAATTTATTATCTGATGTTCCTTTTGGTATTAATTTAATAAAAAAAATCAAAAAAATTATAACAATAGATATTTATTAATTGTTTTTAAAAAAAACTTATTTTATTATTGTGTAGAGAGTAATTAATAATCTTTATTAATATTTCATAAAAAAACAAAAAGATGAGTTTAAGTTTATAAAAAAGTGACAGTTTATTAAAGTTCCCAAATAGCAGTGACTGGAATTCCGAATGTTTTGGTTTCTTGCCATCTATTGTTATAGGTACTGTAGGTATATAATTTAAAGGATTTATCAGCATTTTGAACGATTTGGTAGATTCTTGGTAATTTGAGATCTGGGAATAAAGCATAAGGGGTTTCCATTCTTGATAAAAAGCCTTCATTACCGTTCCAACTTGTATTGGTAATGGTTTTGTTTGTAGTTGAAATGAAGAAAAGTTCTGGACCTGAGATATAGCTGCTTTCGACTCTAATGTTGCAAACGATTAAATCTTTGCTTGGAATGTATGCAAGATTTTTTAAAGTTGATGGGAATGGTTTGAAACCTTGGCCAACGTTTTTAACTTGATAGGCTTGATCAATAAGGATTGGATGGGCATTCATATCATATGAGTTTACATAGATTTGATCTGGTTGTTGTGCTTTGGTGAAGAATACAAAGTAGGTTTTAATTTTTGGATGGAAGAAGGTTGAGCAAAGTTCACCTGGGAAAGTGTGGGTGTTTTTAGCAGCATGGTCATTTGGACTGATTTTACAAACATGGAGGTTATTATCACCATTTGCTGAGGTACCAAATAAGTTGAAAGCATCATTGGTGTTATCATAAGCTAAACCAGCGTAGTTGTAATCTTTGCCAATAGATGATCTGTTGATCTCATTCCATGTGGTGGTATCAACACTATAGAGATATTTAGTTTGGGTGGCCTTTATTATTTTTTAATTTTAAATTTATTAATATTAATACTTTTATTATTTAAAATAAATATATAAGTTTAATTATAACATACAATTTCTTTAACAATAAAACTTAATTGTTTTGTAGTATAGTTGTAAGTTGAGGTTTGTGAACCGATATGTTGGAAACCTTCAAAGGTTTTACCAACTTTTGATGCAACTTTTTGTAATTCAATGCTACCAATGTAGGCATTTTTTTCATCATTCCAAACACCAACGCTTGGGAGAACATTCATTTGTGAGGCTGTATATTTTTTTTTAAAAAAATGAATTAAAGTTAATAATATTTTAATAAAATAAAAATTAAAAGTTATTAGTATTATTATAATTAAAATTATCTATGAATTAATCATATGATTATTTACTCATCATTTTTAAATATCTTTATTTGCTTTATTTGTTTTGTTTTATTTTATAAAATGAATGAAAAAAAGTTTTTATTTTAAAATAAAATTTTATATAAAATAAAAAAATAAAATTTTAACTGGGAACAATATCCAAGTCAGAAAATTCATGGTATACCGGTCATAAAAAATGATTTTTAATAAAGGATGAGGTGGGAAAATATCAGATAAATCTCTTTTTCAAACATAACAAATAAAATAAAAATAAAAACCATACAGTAAAAATATCTAAAAAAAATGATGAAACAGCAGGTTGGTTTTTGAAGGAGGTGGAAAATTTTTTTTATAAAAAATTGCAAAAAATTTAAGAAAAATAAAAAAAAAAAAAATAATAAGCAAGCGATTAATTCAAAAAAATATATGGAAAAAATAATAAAAAAAAAATTGGGAACCTCATAAATAACGAGTTTTGATCAAAAATTAATTTTTAGGATTTTTTTATTTTAATTCTTTGTAATATGTATGATAATAATGAATTTTATAATAATTTTTGCTGATAATTGATTGAAAATTTGAATGTTGCATAGTATTTAATATTTTTTAATGATACATAATACTTGATATTTTTTAATGCTAAATAATTTTTGATAATTTGTATGATTCATATTACTTGATATTTTTTATATGCTAAATAATATTTGATTTTTTGTATGATCCATATAACTTGATTTTTTTTTATATGCTCCACAATACTTGATATATTTTTAATGCTAAATAATACTTACCTTATAATCATATTACTATTATAATTGATGTTCTTGAATGATAATAATGAAAAATAATAATAAATTATTTTCTTTAAATAGTGGGGTGATGTTTAAAAAATTTTTTTATTTTTTATAATAAATTAAACACATCTCCTTTTAAATATATCATTTTTACATTTATATTATAAAATATAATTTAAAAGGAATAAAGTATGAATTTCGATGTTCATTATATGACAATGAAATTGGTATATGATAGTAGAAAGAAAATACAAAACTTTATAAATTATAACTCATGATAATCATAAATTAAAAAAAAAAATTAAAAAAAAAAAAATTAAAAAAAAAAAAAAAAAAATTAAAAAAATAAAAATAAAAGTTTGGATGTTCATTATATGATATATGTGATAATGAAATTGGTCAATATGATAGCAGAATGAAAATACCTGAAATATTAGGTTTTGAAGAGGTATTAGAAGTGAATAAAAAAAATGGAAAATAAAAAAAACATTTTTTATTAGTGTTAAAACTTTAATATTTTTATTATTATAGTTAAATATTTGAGGGTGATACGTATTCATTTTCACCACCAATTGTTGGGAAGTTAATCGATGTCCATACATCTAAGATGGATTTATCTTCGATTTCTATTTCAAAGTAGGTTTGTCTAACTGGTTCGTAATATGGTGTGAAATATGATTGCGATTCTAAATTATTTTGAGTCATTGTTATAGATTGAATACCGGATCCGGAACCAATTGAGCAGATGATAACTTTACTATTAATTGTGTCGATTTCACAGTAGTGTTTATCAATTTTAATGGATAAATTGTCATGGATTGAACCAAACCAACCAAGGAATACAAGATTACCGCCAGTCTTTGATGGTACAGGAACAACAGCTGAAATATAGTGACGTGGAATTCCGCATCTACCATAGCCAATAGCAGATGTATAACCTTTGTAGCATTCACATGTAGCATTAATTGTGTTGCAATATCCGTTAGTAACATTAAAGCAATCCAAGCAAGGGTAAGAGATATACTTGTATTCAAAGTCTGCGATAGTTGTTAATCCATTGACGGTAATATTGGTAGGTCTTAAGCCATCGTCTCTGAGTTGTTTATCTAAAACGCATACGACACTGTAAAAGGTTGATCGGATGACATGACATTCTTGATAGTTATCGATAGTAATGGTTATTTCGCTTGTGTTGTATGCAAAGTATTCACCAGTGAATATCAAGGTATCGTTATATTGGGTCATTTGATAGATAATTGGTGGTGTGTTAGAGATTGATAAAGTGTAGGTTAAATTTAACGAAACTATAGTCATGTTAATTTTCTTAATTATATTATCAGAAGGTGAAAAATATAAACTACCCTTAATTGTATCACCAAGGTTGCTATAAGTTGGAAAAATATTTGGTACTGTTACAATATTAGAAATATCATAGCCTAAATTTTCACCAACAATATTAAAATAGAGATAGGATGTGTAGTTGGCGGTGATTTTAATGCTTGGGGTAATGGTATCTATATGGTATAAAAATATAAATGTTAAATAAAATCTATGATTTTTTAAAAAAAAATAATAATATAGTATTCTTACGATAGTTGCATTGACTTCTATCAGTACTATTAATATTGGTGAAATTATTTCCTATAAATCTTTTTTTTACACTAGGTAAATCTCTAAAATAATACTCTGTTAGTTTTATATCATCAAATACATAAAAAATAAAATTAAATTTTTCTTACAAATAACAAAAAACACATTTTGGTAATTCACCTGAGAATTTGTTGTTTGAAATATCGAGGGAAACACCAGTACACCAGGATTTATCAAAAGTACCACTTAAATTGTTACCTAGGACAATAAATTGATCTATCCCCTTAAAATAGCCATGATTTTGTGGTAGGGCTCCTCCAATTTTGCAGTTTCTAAAACTAACAGTTTTGTCAATAGTTCCATAATCCTTAAAGATATTTAAATCTGGAACAGTGCTAAAATTTCCATAGAATACATCTCTATAAAAAACAATTAATAAATATTCCTTTAATTATTTGTAAATTTTTATTAGTTACTTACATATATGCGGATCTAAAGTTTTTAGGGAGTGCGATAAATGGGAAATTTCCATCTACATTAAACTTATTATCTAAACCTCCATATCCAAACGACCTTTATGTAAACAAATAAATATTAATATTTTTTTAAAAAAGTTAGGTTTTTTATAAAAATTAAAAATTACATTAACATTCTATAGACATTTCTTGTGTTTACGTTATTTGATAAATCAATGTAGTTTGGTGCTAATAGTTTAATCTCATTTCCAAAAACTCTAAATTTTAGAAGTGTTAGTATTAATCAATCTATTTTTCATTATAATAAATATATTTACAAATTTTCGTAAACAGTGTTTGTGACATTTTGGAATGAGTAAGGGAAAGGGATAGTAAAAGGGGCGTTAGCTGAAAATGTAATGGAATAACATTTTTTTAAAAAAATATCCAAATTTGGCATTGTGGACATATTTACTGGTAAAAAGAATTTTAAGTTACAAATTTGAAAAAATGAAAAGTTTGATAAATCTGGAACATTACTGGTTGCAAAAGTAAATGATTTAAAATTACTATCTGTTTGATTACCATCAACCACAAGATTAAAATCTTTTTTATCATCCACAGACCTTAATAGTTTAAAGTTAGTTTCATTTAATTGTATTTTTTTTATTATATTTTCACACTTACAATGAAATTACATTTTTTAAACAACTTGCTTTTGCTGACAATAATGTATCAATGCTAAATCTTTGAATTACAACTGGAATTGGATTATTGATTGAAACAATGTTTGTACCATCTAATCTCCTATAAATGGTGGCATTAGTACCATAGTTTTATAATTAAAAAATTTATTGATATACTTACAAACTTTGAATGGGTCTGTTGATTTCAGAGAGAAAATTTTCACTTAATTTGAGCATACCTAAATTAATTGAAGAAACTTTGGAAAAACAACTAATGTCACTCCATGAAATTGTGTTTTTTACAGTATTTATATCATTAAATCCACTTTATATTTTAAGATAAAATATTAGTTTCAAATAAAAATATTTAATATTTGAATGAAAAACTTACATTTCAGTAAAATAACCATTGCTGTCACATGAAAATAGATAAATATTCTTAGAGCACGCTTGTGCAGGTGTTGTCGTGCCTTGTAATCTTGTATCATTTATTTTACCCATTAAATTACTAAAGCAAGCATCTAAAAAAAAAAAGTGTTATTTTTTTTATTTTATATTTTATTTTTATAATTAATATTTTAAATTTCTTACCTTCTACTGAGTAAATAAAGTTAATTGATAAAAATAAAAAGAAAAGGGAAGTTATAAGTTTCATTTTATAATATTGTATTACTATTGAAAAACTATTATTTGTTTAATAAAAATAAAAAAAGAAAAACTGGTTTATATAGTTTTAAAAAATAATCTTTTTTTTAAAAAAAATAATTTTTTTTATAAAAGTTACGGTAACATAACCTTTCCAATAAATTTTATTATGATATTACATATTAATTATGTCCTTATTTTACAAAAATACTGAACCATATGGGATCCCAAATTGTCAAAGATTTTTATAGGTGTTTTCTTACTTATTTTTTATTTTTATTTTTCGTTTTGTTATTTTTTTAATAATATTATTTTAAAAATATAAAATCTATAAACTTTTATCTTTTCCAAAAATGAGTTTTTGGAAGGTGGATTTTTTTGGCTTTTGGGTTTTACAAAACAGTGATAAATCGATTTTTTTTTTTAAAAAATTATTTTAAAATTAACAAATGAATTTTTGAAATAATTTTTTTTTGAAATTTTAGAAAAAATATGGAATTTTATTATTTTTGTGTGAAAAGAAAAAAAATATGTTGATTTTTATTATAAACGAAAAATAGCTTTTTGCAAAATATATGATTTTATACTTACATGTTTTAATTATTTAAATTATTATTTGTTAAAGTTTTTTAATTAAAATATAAAAAAAGTGTGGAAAAATAAATTAAAAATTAAAATTAATGGATAAATTGATTTATTCAACAAAAAATAAATATTTTTGAATATTGATTTATTTAATATATTAAAAATGACCATATTAAGTTTGATTATAAAATCTCCTTTGGTTTAAAACAGTTTATTAATTATTATATTAAACCCAAAAAAAAAATTAAAAAAATTAAAAAAATTAAAAAAAAAAAATAATTTTTATTATTTTTGTTTTTATTCATAATATTTAAAACAATAAATATTAAAAAAATAACAATAGTAATAAAAGCGAATTCAGAAATCGAATATTTCACTTATAGTTACATAAAATAAAATACAATTATGTTTTCATGGGGAAGTGGCAGAATTGGTTTTGGTAGTTTCAGTGATGTTAAAGAGCCTAAGCAACTGTATTTCAACCGTTCTAATGATGGATCCGATGGAGACACCTATGATGAAAATGACTGTAAAAATGATATAGATTTTATAGATTTCTCGGCTGGAAGAAGACATTCACTAGCAGTAGATAATAGTAATAAAGTTTGGGTATTTGGTGATGTAAGTTTATCAAGTTTTCATAAAATTTAAATTAAAATAAATATAATCTAATAATATTATTATTATTAAAAGATTGGAGATAATGTTACAGAGTTTAGAAAATATCCCATTTTAGATAAATCATTAGAAAATGAAAATATTAAGCAGGTTTCATGCTGGGATAGAAACTATGCAATTAATGATAAAGGACAAGTTATACAATGGGGTTCAAATGATGGTACATTTTTAATTCCAAGAGTTATACCATTCAATTATTCAATCAAACAAGTATCATGTTCCTTAAATAATACTATGGCGGTGTCAAGTGACGGCATAGCATTTGTAAATATATTTCAAGCAGAGGCTTCAAAATTTAAAGTTGTACAATATTTTATAGAAAATAAAATTCAAGTAATTCAGGTTGCATGTGGTGTAAAACATTGTTTGTTTTTAGACAGTAAAGGTTTGGTTTATTCATCTGGCAAAGGTATTCAAACTGGTCAATATGCAAGTTTTGGAGAAATTGATGATGGTGGTGAAGGTACTGTTCCACAGGATAGTGAAGAGGATCTTTCAAATTTGGTTGATGATGGCACTATTAAATATGACTTTGACCAGCCAAAACAAGTAAAGGAATTATGTAATATTATCGAAATTAAAGCTGGCTATAAACATTCATTAGCATTGGATTACTATACCCAACAAACATATGCATGGGGTGAAAATTTAAATGGCCAGCTTGGAATGGAAGGTGTAGATTATGTATTTGAACCAACTATCATACCATTCCCACTTGTACAAATTAAAACAATTGAAGCAGGTGCATACCACAGTGCATTCATAACAACTAAAGGTCAACTTATTATGGTCGGTGGTGTATTAATAGTTAATAGTGCATTTAGAATGAATCTAGCTTTAGGAAATGGGGAAGGTGGTTTAAACACAATCCAGTTTAAAGTTAATGTAGAAGAAGAGGAAACAGTTATTACAGAGAATATTGTTATACCAAAACCAGTTTCAACTTTAATTAATGTAAAAGAAAAAGAACAGCACGAAAAAGAACAAAAATTAATACCAAAAGAAGATCAAGATTTAGATGATGATGGTGTTATATTATCAAAAGAAGAAATATTAGAATTTCAATACCATCTAAATGAAATATTCCATAGCGATTACTCTAGATCACAATATAATCCCCAGTTTATTCAATCTACATTTAAAAATAAAGTAGTCGATAAGGTTTCGTGTGGCCTATTTCATACATTGGCAACTTTAAAAAAAGATCAAGTTCAACCAATCAATTCACTTCAAGAATATTGTATCAAATATATTTCAGATAATATTTTAACATCAATGGAGTCAGATTCGTCATTTCAAGATATATATAATATACCACTAGATATAGTTTTAAAAATTGATTCTTATTTAACATTGGAAAGAAAACATAACGATAAATCATTAAGATTAATGTTCTTTTTAAAATCATCCTATAATAATAAAAATAAAATAAATAATAATAATGATAATACAATTCAAAATCAATGGGATGAATATTTAACCTCTTTTTCAGATTTTGAATCTGTTGTTATCGCATCACTTTCAGATTATAGCGTTATAACTAAATCACCCAATATAGAAATTTCAAAAGAGTTAATTAAAGAATTTTGTAACCAAGAGAGTCAAGAAATGTTTTTAAATAATCAAATTAAAATTCCAAGTTATCAAGAATCTTTTACAATAATATGTATAGAAAATAAAATATTGGCTTTAAATGTTTGTATATTTAATTTATAGTTATTCTTAATAATAATTATTTATATTAACTATTAATTTTTAATTTTAGAAACAATATACATTAATTATAGATAAAACAAATTTATTATTGGTAATGGCAATATTCAAAAGAGAATTGTTAACAAATTCTTATATTTTAAAAGATTTTGATAATAATATTTTAAATTTAAAAATAAATGGTTATTAAAATAGATGTATTATTTAAAAAAGATTTATAAATAAATTTTTTTTTTTTTTTTTTATTTTGTTTATTAAAATTAATTATTATAGCCTCCCCACTTATTTAAAGCCTCTTTTAGACTTAATAGTGTGATTGGTTTACCCATAAAGTCATCCATTCCACTATCTAAACAATCTTGAACAAATGATGATGATGAACCAGCAGACAAGGCAACAATATTCATTCTCTTCCAGTTGTTTTCTCTTTCTTTTGATCTAATAATTCTTGTAGTTTGGAATCCATCTAAAACTGGCATTTGACAATCCATAAATACAATATCAAAACATCTTTCTCCTGTAATTTCTTTGAGTGCTTCTTTACCATTCTCTGAGAATGTAGTATTCCAATCTATTTTTTTGAATAACTGAGCCAAAACCTTTCTATTTAATTCATTATCTTCTACAATGAGTGCTTTCTTTTTATAAATTGGTGTGTCTCTAGCTTGTAAATCTAATGGACTTGATGTGAGTAAAGTTGGAGTTAAATTTAAATTATTTGAGGGTGTAGATTCATTAAGCAGCATAGGTGTAAAGTTTTGATTACTGTTATGATGTAATGGCGGTATTGGGTTAGAACGAAGTTGTTGTTGAGCTTGATAGGTTTGATAGTCGACAGCTAGTTCTAAAGGTGGTATTACAGGGTTGCCATTATTACCATAAAGTGGAGGAGTTTTACCAGTGTGCACCAATAAAACCAAACCAGATGATAAGGGAGTTTGTGTTAAATGACCGCTGCTATATAGATGTGAAGGTTGAGATTGTTGATATGCTTGTTGTGATTGTAAATGAGATGAACCAGATGTAAAGTGAATTTGAGCTTTAATACATTTATTTAATACGGGTAATAGTTTATCTGTCATTGCTGGTCTTCTAATTAATTCGATACGTTGATCTGGTGAATTTTCTCTCCATTTATTTAAAACGCCATTATGCCTTGATATATTAAATTTAGTTGGTGTAATTAAAATCATTGGTACATTTGGTATTATTTTCAATTGTTCTGTTAGTATTTCTAAATCTAACAATACAAGGTCTAAATGTTCATTTTCAAAATTTAATGGATTTTCTTTATCTTTCTCTTTGCTATTATTATTATTTGAATTGTTGTTATTATTATTTAATTTTATATTATCAATTATTGATCTATTAACCTGCTTAACCTTTATTCCTATCCACTCCAATTGTTCTTTTAATACATTTTCTGTTACACTATCTCTGCAAAGTAATAAACAAATTTTATTAACCAAAATTTCACTGCATGTTGGAATAGGTGTGCTTGGCAAACTGTTCTTCTTTTCATTAAATGAATAGGTTGATTTTGGTGAACTTGTTATAAATTGTCTTGGTAATGATGATGGTGATATTAAATTTAAGTCTGATGGTGATGTATTTGGCAAAAGGAATGGAATAATACATTTAAATGTAGATCCTTGATTAACTATACTGCTTACCTGAATTGTACCCCCCATGACCTCTTCAATTAATCTTTTTGTGATTGATAAACCTAAACCTGTACCTCCATATTTTCTAGTGGTTGAATTATCAGCTTGAGAGAATGGTTCAAAAATTGAATCAAATAATGATTGTGGAATACCAATACCTGTATCTTCAATTGTAATGCATAGATGAATGATATCCTCTTCGCTATTGCTTGTTGGTACTGATTCGTCGACACTGATATCTGTTAAAATATGACCACGGCTTGTAAATTTAATTGCATTTGATAAAAGATTTAATAATACTTGTCTTATTCTCATTGCATCCCCAAACACAATTTTAGGCACATTTGGAGGTACTCTTAAAAGTATATCTACTTCATCATTTGCAGCCACTGAAAGCATATGGATTACAGCTTGACAAGTTTCGATAATAGAGAATGGTAGAGTTTCCATTTTCAACTGTCTGCTTTCCAACTTGCTATAGTCTAAAATATCGTTGATAATGGTTAAAAGGGCCTGAGAACTCTTTTGAATGGTTTGCACATAGTCACGTTGCTCTTCACTAAGATTGGTTTCGAGTAAAAGATCGCTAACACCAATAACACCAGATAATGGAGTCCTAACTTCATGGGAAACAGTGGCTACAAATGCAGATTTGGCTTTATTGGCTTCTTCTGCAGCTTCCTTTTCAAAAATAAGTCTTTGCATATCTTTTCTTGAAGTCATATCACGAAGGGTACCAGCCATACGAAGTGAACTATCTTTAAATGAGGTTTCGTTTGATACTACTTTACCTCTCATTATAATATAAAGATAGCCGCCATACTTCTTTCGCATTCTACATTCAATTTCCATAATGCTTGACTCTCCAGTAATAGTTTTCTTTATTTCGCTAATAAATTTTGTTTTATCATCTGGATGAATTAACTCTGCTAAATATTTCATATTCCAAATTGCTAATTGGTGAGTATTTGGTGAAGGTATCATTTCATCTAAAATAATTGGTGAAAATAATTCGTCATTGTATGTTTGTCCTTCTCCGCCACTACATACTCCATTAGTCGTGGCTGATGGACTTTTTTGATCTTTACCATTGCTTTTAAATAAAGTAAACGTGTTATTACCACTTCCTCCACTATTCTTATTGAAGTTTAGGTTGTTTGTGCTACTACTTTTAAGCTCTTCATATAGTGTTTTGGATTGATACGAAGCATCTTGAGCCTTTAATATTTGGAACCATCTTGATGAAATATGAAGCTCACCAGTATTGACTTTCCAATCCCATACTGCATCTTCTGAACCCTCCATGGCAAGCTCTAATCTCTCTTGACTTTCTGCTAAAGCTCTTTCCGCTAATTTTCTATTATAAATTTCTTTGTGAAGATCTTCGTTGGTCGCTGACAATTTAATATTGTGTTTTGTATTTACTGCAAACCAAAATGAAACCAAACCCGATAACAATAAACAAACGCCACCAATGGCATATGGATAGAATGTAAAATGTTTACCAATAAACTTTTCTGATGGTTTGAATGCTACCATCCAATTTCTACCCCCAACATTCATTGTATTGTAATAAATCATATTTGAGGACTCTTCTAATTCTTGTGGATTACGAATTGTGGTATTTGAGGAGCCATCGAAATCTTTAGAATCAGCCGCTTTATGATAAATTAAACTTGTTTCTTGAGCTGTATTTTGTAAATCGAAAACATATAAATCTAATGAATCCTCTTCAGTTAAACGTTTCAAACTTGCCGAAACCATTCTACTAATGAAAAATCTACAACTTGCAAAACCAATAATTTCGTTTCTCCGATCCTCTACTGTTGATAATATTTTACCATAGGTATATACTGCTTGATATATATAAAGCAATTCATTATTTGTTCCAGGGTTCTTTGGGGCATTTGCATTCTTATTAATAAATGGGCTGGGTACCGAAACTTTTTCTCCAGTATCCCTAGTTTTGTTCAAAGCCGCCCTTCTCCATGCATCTGAAATAATGTTATAACCTTTATAATGATCGTTTGTTGCCTGTGGTTCTGAAAATAAAATCGGATAGTAATCTGCTGCACTAGCGGCCGGTATATCTTTGATGGTATTATTATCTGATCCTGTAACCTCCCTTATCTTTACAGAGTGTTCAATTTCCCATGTTGATCTATCATAGTTTGATACTCTTGGGGCCCACATTATACCCTCTAAACCTTCAGCATTATGCTCCCATAGTTTAGAAAACGGCACAAATTGATCCTCTGACGTCGATGGAAATACTGATAACAATAGGGATAATGTTTGAGTGACATAAAGACGATTAGTAAACTCGATTCTTAACATTGTAAATCTATCTCTTGCAACTCTAGCAAAATCGTCTGCAATGGTGTTCTCTTCTGAATATCTTAAAACCAATATAGCCAATACGGAAATCGATGTACCAACAATAAATAAACCGATAATAATTGCCCAAGCTCTTCTACCCATACCCATTAATGAACAATTCTTTGAAAATGGTTTAAAGTAATTCTTTTTTAAACTTTTTTGATTATTTAAATTAGAGCCTCCGCTACCAATAATACCACCACCAGCGCCATTATTATTCTCACCCTCCATCATATTTGAGTTATCCAGTAAATCTTTATTTTTATTATGTTTACTATTACTATGCAGTCCACTACCTGCCCCCTCGAATTCAACTGAATTACCACCTGCTGTTTCATTCGATTGCAATGTTTGATTCTTTCTTTTTCTATTCAAATAATTTTGTTTATTGCCTAAAATTTCTTCTGATAAAATTTGAATACAATGACCATTTTTGGCTCTATTACTAACTGGTGAATTATTACCATTATTAGTGTTGCTATTGTTCTGGTTATTATTTCTTGGTGATATGTTTTCTTTATTATTTATATTTGGTACACTATTATTACTTTTGCTATTTGCTAATGATCTCGGACTTGAATTTCTATTATGATCATTACTTTTTAATCCAGGTGATGATTTTGGTGAGCCACTATTGCCTCTTGGTGTATTGTTTTTACTGTTACTATTACTATTTCCACAATTATTATTTCTTGGTGATACTGTATTACAATTTCTTGGACTAATTCCACCATTATTGATTGGTAACTTTGGAATGTTTATATGAAAATTATTTGGGCTAGGTGGATTACTTTTATTTCTTGGGCTAATACCACCATTATTATTAATACCATTATTATTACTATTTCTTGGTGAAATGTTTTCGCTACTTAAATTTGGGCTACCTTCTTCAACTATTGTATTAATAGTATTGTTCAAATCAATACTTTTATCTATACCAATTATACCCATGCCACTATTTGCACTATTTAAAACACCGCTATTAGCTCCGCTATTATTTCCACTATTATTACCACTATTATTTCCACTAGAGTTTGTGTTATAGACATTTGTTGTTGGAGTTGATGATGATAATGGTTTATTTTTTAATTTAGAAAATGAGTGAATAGCTGAATTGGCCAATAAAGACTGTATTGATTTTCTCCTTTGATGATTATTACCAACATTAGTTTCATAAGTACTATGTCTTTTGGTTTTGGTTGGTGAATCTAAAATTGGATTATGTGTGATATTATTCATACTATTCATACTACTATTGTTACTGTTATTGTTGTTTGTTGTAACTGGTGGCAAATTATAATTATTTATGTTATTACTACTAATGTTATAATTAAAGTTACTTGTATTATTACTATTGTTACTATTTGAAAGTGGCAATACTGAATCCTCTAATGATCTTGATAATTTATCACTATTGGTTAAACTACCCAAACTACCACTGCTATTACTATGATAATTATTATTCATGTTATGGGTGTTATTATTTGTATTAGTATTCGTCTCTGTATTTTCGAAGCTTGGTGAGGAAATATTATGTAACGCTTGTGAATGAAAATTTGAAGGAAACGAAGAAGATGGCGAATGTTGAAAATTATAATGGTGTTGTGGTTGCTGTTGATTTTTTATTCCGCCTGTTGAAACAATAGGCGATGTATCCCCTATTACACCTTCATTAAAATCCTAAAAACATAAAATTAATTTAATTAAATTTTATTTTCCTTTTTTTTTTTTTTTTTTTAAAAAAATTAACAATATCCTACCCTAAATGTTTTTAACTCCATTCACGGAATATATCTACTTTATTTTACAATATAATTATTTCTATTTTATAAATGTAACAATAAAAAAATATATAAGTTATTTTATTTTATGTTTTTTATTATTATTGAAATAATAATTTAAAAAATAAATAAAAATAATAAATAAAAAAAAATGAAAAAAATAAAAAAAAACTCTTTAATTAATACTATTAAGCTATGTACATATATATATAAAATAAATAAACAAATATATTTATATATAAAAATTATTTATAAGATATTTGATAGAGCGAGAAAGGAGAAAAAAAAAAAAAAAAAAAAAAAAGATTGAGAGAAAGAAATTATTTTTGTTTTTTTTTAAAATTAAATCATATAATATAAAATTAATTTACCATATAATTATATAAATAACACAAATATAGATAAACACACACACACACACAATATGCACATAAATTAACAAAAAAAAAAAAAATTTTTATTATGTTAATTTTATTTTTATATGTAAAAAATTTACCATAAAGGATAGAAAATATAATTAATGTGATGGATTTTTTTATTTCTATTTTTGTATTACTGTTCACTCTGAAGAAAAAAAAAATTGAAAAAAAAAATAAAAATAGAAATAGAAATTAAATGTTATTGTTGTGTGTCTGTGTGTATGTGTGTTGATTATGTTATTGTTTTTTATTATTTTAGTTTTTTAATTATCCCTAATGTGTGGGTGGATACGATGTGTGTTCTCATATAGATATATTTAAAGTGGGGGTAGGTGTGTGTATGTGTGGGTGTGGGTGGGGTATTAATCAATAAGGGTACATAAAGATTTATGATAGTGATACAGTAATTGTTTTATATTTTTATTTTTAATTGTTTTTTTTTTTTTGTGTGTGGTAAAATGTAGTTTTCATAATATAAATAAACAAATAAATAATTACATTTAATAAAAGTAGAAATTCTATAAAAATTATTAAACTTAGCAACTACTATAATACCTAAGTTCTTTTTTATTTGAAGCAGCCATATTTTTTAAAAAACAAATAATTGCCAACGATGTGCAAATACTGTTTTCACTTGTTCTTTAAATATTATATCATAATAGGGCGTTTATTATATTGTTAATGTGATATTCAAATAATAAAAAAATTAAAAAAAAAAGAAAAATAAAAAATTTTTAAAAATTTAATTTAAATTTTTAATTGAAAAAAAAAAAAATCCACATGATAACCAATTTAACTAATACCAATTCGGTTTGAAATTAAAATAAAAGGAAGGAGCAAAATTAAAACAATCAAAGTAAAAATAATAATAAAATGATCAAACTAATAGTCATATAAAAAAAAACAAATTGAAAAATTTTAAAAAAAATTATATTTTTTTTATTATAACTCTTTTAATTTTATAGTTTTATCTTAAGTTATAGTTATAGTTTTAGTTTTAGTTTTTGGGAATCTAATATTAAATTATATATTTATTAATCAATTCTATTCTTTTTAAAAATCTATAGAATGCACTTTTAATCAATATATTACAAACAAATAGATTTAATAATACCAATACCATAAAAGAAATTTTATAATATAAAGATACTACTTTATTATAAAATAATAATAAATATATTTCCATATAGATTCATTAATTTTCTTTTTAAAGTTAAAAAAATTTGAAAAGATATTAAAATTATTAAAAATGGGGTTTATCACTAAAAAATTTTTTTTTTTTTATTTTTTTTCATTTTTTATTTTAATTTTTTTTTTAATTTCATTATTTCAAATAGCCAACTGTATATATTATAGTATTTTTTTTTTTTTTAATAATGCACACACCACCCTCCCCGACAATCTATTTTTTTTGATATTTATTTTGGTACTAGTACCAGTACTCATATATAAATAGATTTGTTTTATAAACTCACTCTCAAATAAAAATAAACAACAACAATTCGATTTACATTATTATTTTGTTTTTTTTTTATTTTTTTTAAAAAAATGTAAAAATTGTAATAATATCACATATAATTAATCATTTAATGATAAACAAAAAATAAATATTAGTTCGTATTGTGTACACATTTTAATAGTATTACTAATCATAAAGTAAAATTGTAATTGTTATAGTAATTTTTATAAAAGTAGTAGAGGTAAGTATTAAATTAAAAACACATTATATGAATATTTGTTATGCTATATATTTTATTTAATTATATTTTTCATTTATATAATTAAATTTTAAATCTCTCCCAATGTATAATTTATAACATACGATTATTGTTGTTTTTTCTTTTATAATATTGTTTTATTTATACACATTATTGTTGTTTTATTATATAGTTATTTTATTATTACACATTTAAAAATAATAATAATAATATCAATATTTCCTTTAATAGTAATGATGATGATAATCATAAAAAAGCAGAGTGGAAAAAAAAAAAAAAAAAAAAAAAAGAATTATATATAATATCCATTTTTATTACTTTTTCCTAATTTCGATGATTTTATCCTATTACAAAATAAATAATTAAAAATTACCTAACCCACTTCCTTCTAAATAATACATACAGAACCAATCATTATATTAATATAATTAAAATATAAAATAAAATAATACATAAAAATAAAATAATAATATTTTATAAATCAAATATATTTGGTTTTTTTTTTTTTTTTTTTTTAAGAAAAAAAAAATAGAAAAGGGTCAAAAATAATAATAATAATAATCTCTAAAACTATATTTAAACATATTTCTTAAATTATAAATAATATAATCTATATTTATAATACTGTAATTTTATTTTATTTATTTATTTAAACTAATTTTATCAGTTAACTATTTGTTTTTTAAAATAAACACCCAAAATAACTTTATATCATTAAATAATTATTCATTTAATAGTTTATTGTTTTTACTTTAAAATTAATTTATTCTTTTTTTTTTTTATTTTTTTTTTCTTTTAAATATTTTAATTTTTTTTTTCTTTATTTTTTTTTATATTAATTTCAATATATAATAAATTTAATTTAAAATGGCCTCTTTAAAAAATAAAAAAGGAGATATCGAAGTTACATGTAAGATTCTTTATATTTTATTTAGTTAAATAGTTTTAAAATAGATTACTTAAATAAAATTTTTTATTTTCTAAAATAGTGTTGGAAACTAAAGGAATAAAATCTGGTGATATTTTTATTATTATAGATCTACCCCCAAATAAACTATTTAAAACTCACACTTTTAAAGGTCCAGATCCAAAAATTTTTGAAAAATTTGTATTGTAAGTATCATTTAAATCGAAATAAAAAAAAATATAAAAAAACCATTGACACCATTTAATTTTAATTAGAGATTTAATGACATTTCAAGATGATGAAATTTTATTGATTGTAAAAGAACAAAAACCAAGTGGATCAAAATTTATTGGTCAAATTCAGATTCCCCTTAAAGCATTAAATTTACCACAAGGACCGCAATGGTATTATTTAACAGATAGACCATCGCAAAAAGAGGGTCAAAAACCAAAGATTGTAACTGGTTCGATTCAAATTCAATTGAATTTTGTTCATAGATTAATTAGAGCAAAATCAAGAGTATCAATACCAAAAGAATTTCTCCAACAAACAGGAGTTGATGGTTCAAATGAAACTTGTAATATAACCAACAGTAATAGTACAACACCTTCGTCATCCAGCTACTATTCAACTACCAAAAGTAATAGCAGTAGCTCTAGTAGTACATCTACATCGTCATCACGTTCAACATCACCTGACCCTGAAAAATCTTTAGAGGTTGGATTTGGCTATCCAGTTCATATCAGCCAAGGAAGTAATAATAGTGGATGTGATATTCTCGAAGTTAGAGGTGGTGAGTCCATTCATTCAAAATACCAAGTACAATCATTGTCCAATGGCTTTGATCATGGTCACAATACATCAAGTAGCATCACAATACCTCCACCACCCACAATATCAGATATTGATATTTCAAAAGAAGAAGATTTAATTATTGAAGAAACTCTCAAAGATAAAGAAAGTATAGTAAAGAAACAAATTGTTCAACAAAAAGAGCTTTTAAACAAACTAAGTGAAACAATTAAACAATTAGAGAAACAAGGAAAACCAGTTGTCCAAGAGAAAGCTAAACTAAAAAAGATGCAAGAAGATATTGATGATATGGAAAAACTAATTCAATCACAAACAAAGCAATCAACATCACCTTCCTCGTCAAGCATAAACAACCCTTCACCAATTACCAAACAACCAAGTAGAGGTAGAAATTTATTATCAAGCCTGGGTATTAATAAATCAACTGAAAAAATTCAACAATACACACCACATACATCAACCTTTAATAATCCACCACCACCAACAATTGCACAATCAATGAATTTGATTCATGCATCCATTCACAGCAACAATACCTCTGGTGAATTTGACCAAAAACTTAATTACTTTATTATTGAGTTAGAAAATGAAAGAAAGCTAAAAGAATCAATGATCGAAAAATACAAAACTATAGAACGTGATTATTTTAAATTAGAAAAAGAGCTCCAATCAACAAAGCAATCATCCACAAATAATAACCTAACTAACAAGACAAATAATTTAAACACCACCACCACCAAAACATCAACAACTAACCCAACCAAAGACAAAGAATATAATGATTTATTATTAAAGTTTAAAATTCTAGAAGCTGAAAACATCTCATTAATTCAAGAAAAAGAAATCCTAAATGAAAAATATAAACTCTTTGAAAAAGAATCCGAAAAGCTTGAGAAAGAACTGGAATATGAACAAGTATTAAGAAAAAAAGAAATGGAGAAAAAGGAATTCGAAAGAGAAGAATCTAAAAAATTATTAAAAGAATTAGAACAAGTTCAGAACAAAGAGAAACTTTTATATATGGAACTAGATACTCAAAAGGAACTGGCTGATGTTATGCGTGAAAAGAAACAATTATTCGAACGTGAAATAACAAGGTTAGAATTTGAAGTTAAACAATTAAAATCGGGCCATTCAAGCAATGTGAATCCAAATGTAAACAAGCAACAGCAACAAACCATTGAGCTATTACAATCCAAAGTAAAGTCTTTAGAGAATGAAATAGATTTAGAAAAGAAATCGAAATCATTAATTCAAGATAAATTAAAATTGGCAGAAAAGGATGAAAAATTTGTTGAAAGATTAGAATCTGAAATTAAAAGACTAGAAAACCATATTAAATCACTAACCAATACAAATGAATCACTAGAAAAATCAAAAGATAAATTGAAGAAAGAAAAGGAACAATTAGAAAAAGAATTCAATACATTGAAACAACAAAAGAATGCACCAACATTAAGCAAAACAGGTATTTCTTCAACATCATCGACTAATCTTAACACACCAAAACAAATTGAAGAGAAACTAAATGAAATGGTAAATATATTGGTCAACATATCACAAAAACCAGATAGCGCCGCTGTTGCATCCATTGCAGATAACAAATTATTTGACACCCCATTAGGTAAAAAAATTAAAGATCTATCTGAAAAAATTCAAACTGCTACATTAAAGAATAAAGAGATGGAATTACAATTGGAAGAATTACGAAACTCAAAGATTCAATCACAAATTGAACGTCATAGACAAGGCATATGTGATAGCGATAATAACACACCAACATCATCTTCATTAACATCATCCTCAAACTCATTAAACTCATACTCATCACAAAACAACTCTTCTTCAAATTTAATGGCTTTAAAGGGCTCATCAACAAACTCATCTGATAAGGATTTAATGCAACAACAAAACAATCAAATATCATTACTTGTATCAAAATTAGAGAAATTGGACCGTCTAGAAGAATTTATGAGAAAACTTGATGAAATGAAAACATTCCAACTAAACCATTCACCAATGGGAGGAAGTGCTGGCGGTGCAGATCAATCACTACGTAAACGTACTCATCACAATATGAAGTCAGAATTGGAGGAAATACAAAAAACAATTTTAGATAGCAAATCAACTGAGAAAGAACGTGAAGATGCCAATGTTAGATTTGAAAAGGTATTCCAAGAGCTATCAAACACTGAAGAATATAAAAGAGAAATTCAATTAATTCAAGATGAGAAACGTCGTCTTAATGAACCTTTAAATCAAAAAGCACTTCAGAAACTAATACCAATTTATTCAAATATTGACAAACAACCATTAGACATTAGAGAAAAGGTCAAAGATAACCCAGAGCTATCTCTTATCGGTATGGACCCCAAAGCAATTTTGTCTAAACATCAAAACGATTTCCAATACTATTTATTACGTTCAATTAATTTAGAAGAACTAAGAGCAATTCGTGCATCATTACCAAAGTGGAGATCCGATCAAAAGAAACAAACTGAATGGACCATCAGCCTTGAAGAAAAAATTGATCAAATTTCAAAACAACAACCACATCAACAACAACAACCAAAAATCACTAGATCAAAAACAAATATTAACCTAAATATACAAAAACAAAAACCACAACTCAATACACAAACTTTGGGTGGTAAGAATAAATTAATGAAACAAGAATCTGCCCACGAAACTTTATTTAATGAATTATTAAAAAAAAGATCAAAAATAATTTAATTTTTTTTCATTAAATTTAGGAAAAAACAAAAAAAAAAAAAAAAAAAAAAAACAAAAAAAATAAAGATTTTATAACCATAACTTTATTATTTATTTATTTAAAATAACAAATGTATCATTTATTTTTATTTATTTATTTATTAATTTATTAATTCATTTATTTTATTTTTTTTTAAAAAAAAACGGTTTTCGTTTTTAAAAATTTTTTAAAAAAATTTTAAAAAAATTTTTATTAAAAGATATTTTCTAAAACCAACGAATTATTTTATTTCTTTTTGTATATTAAATAATAATAAATAAATGGAATTTGAAAATAATGGGGTTGTTGTTTTAAAGAAAAGGACAAGGAACGAATTTGAATCAGAGCTATCTGATGATAATAACAATACCAGTAATAGTTATACCGATATTAGTGATAGCGATGAAGAAAACAATTTAGGAAATATCGAAAAGAAACAATCCAACGATGACAAAGAGTATTCGGAAAGCGAAGAAAGCGAGGATAGTGAAGATAGCGAAGATAGCGAGGATAGTGAAAACAATCAAGATGAAGAAGATAAATTAGATTCAGATTATGAAAAAAAAGTTATGAAGGAAATTCTCGAAAAAAGGAAAACTAAAACCAAACCTAAAAAACCAATCAATGTAAATGACCTTATATGTTCATATTGTTTAAAAGTATTTTCAAGAAAATCAAAACTAGAGTACCATTTAAGGATTCACACAGGTGAAAGACCATATGTTTGTAAATTTGAAGGTTGCGATAAATCATTCACAAGGTCCCATCATTTGTCATATCATATGAAAGTTCATCAACAAAGCGAAGGCAAAGTAGAGAAACTTAAATGTCCAGTACTTGGCTGTCAAAGTGAATTCATCCTAAAACATAAACTGCAAACCCACATCAAATCAAAGCATGGTCAAGATAAACCGTTCAGGTGCACACACGATCCAGAGAAATGCAATCTTTCATTTTCAAAGCACAATCAACTAAAGAGACATATTGATAAAGATCATTTAAAACAACACCCTTATGAATGTACATATGAAGGATGCAATATGCGTTTTGAATACCCAACCTATAGAAAAAAGCATATTTTACGTTGCCACGAAGGAACTCCAAAGCATATTTGCATCTATCCAGGATGCAATGAAATGTTTGTTACCTTATTAGAACTACAAAAACATCGAAAAAACAACCACGTCATCAGATGGAAATGCCCCGAATGTTCTAAAACCTTCTGTTCATCATCATCACTTTGCGCACACAAAAAACATATTCACAAACCAATTGAAGAAAGAGAAGTTTTCGTTTGTAAAGAAGAAGGTTGCTTCAAGCACTATTTAACTAAATCAGGGTTGGAATCTCATATTAAATCAGCTCACAAGAAAGAACTTTTTATTTGTCAATGTGAAAAATTAAAAATCGTTCAAGAGCAAGAACCTAAATCAATTAAAATTGGCACACGTTCGAAAAAAGAAAAAACTACAAAAACAAATATTTTATCCTCCTCATCCTCATCAAAAGCTTATGAAACAAATAATGTAAATAATAATAACAATAGTAGTAGCAGTATTAATTTAAGATCATCAGGTTCAACCACACCAGAATTAGAAGATATAAATAATAAAGATAAAAATACCACAGATAATAATAAGGATAATAATACAGTTAATAATAATAATAATGAAGAAATTTGTGGTCTTAAATTTACAACCAAAAAGAATTTATTCAAGCACATTGAAAATGTACATAAAAAGAACAATAATGTAAAGATCATTCCATCAAAAACAAATAAATTAATTAAAAGTGAAGAAATTAAAAAGAAAAATGCAATTAAAAATGTGCACGCCCATTTCCTTGGTAAAAGAAAGAAAAATGAAAGCTATGAAAGTAGTGATTATGAGACAGATAACAGCAATAGTAATAGCGATAGTGATAGTGATAGTAATTAATTTAGTGACAAAAAACACAGCATAGTTCAGATTTATAATAGTATCGATAAATTATCAAATTTAAATAAAATTGTTCATAGATCCAAAAAAAAAAATAAAAAAAATATAATCAAAAAAAATAAATAAAATTTTCGAATTTTCAAGAAAAAAAAAAAAAAAACATGTATTTTATTGTGCAAATATGTTGTGTGCATTTTTAAAATTAACTGCAATTTTATAAACCCGTTGTCTAATTCAATCACAAATTTTTATTCATAAAAAAAGCAGTTACAAAAAATCATATATCAATGTAAAAGTGTAAAAAGTGACATAAAAAAGAAGGACTTAATTGAGCATAAACTTAATTTAAAATAAATTTTAATTTATTTAAAATAAAATTTTTTTTTATTATCATATTTTTCAAATAAGAAAAAAAAAAGAACCAAAATATCCATCTTTTTTTAAAAACCTACAAAAAAATATATTCAAATATCCCCAAACTCTCATATAATATAATTTTTATTATATATTATAAAAAATATCTCAATCGTTTTTCATTCATCACCCACACACATGCCAAAACTTTTTATTTTTTTTTTTTGAAAAAATATAAAATATCTAGGTTTGGTGCAATGTGAGGAATTTTTTTTAAAATAAAAAAAAATAATAATAAAAAAAAAGGGGTAAAAAATAGGTTTTTTTCTAATAACAGGTCATATGAAAAAAAAAAAATTTAAATTTTTTTTAATTAAAAATAAAAAAAAGAAAAAAATTTTGATTTAGATATTTTGGTCGCACACAACCGTGATTTGATTTATGTATATTACTCTCTGCATCCAAAATTAATAAAAAAAAAAAACATTCATAATTAAGAAATAATATGATAGAACGAATTTTCTGCCAAGCTAATAAAACCAAATTTAAATTTAAATTTTTTTTTTTTTATTTTTTTTTAATATTTTTTTTTAATAATATTTTTATTTTTAATTTCTTTCATATTACCAAAGATAAATCACACACATATTTTATTAAATTTATATAAATATAATTTATTTATTATTTACAATTAAATTTTAGATATTCCATTTTATTTTAAATATAGTATACTTTTATTGTAAATATCAATATATATTTTTAGCACACATACACACATTTAATCAACAACTATCAATTTTTTTATAAATCAATAATAAATAACCCTATTTTTTAATTTTATTATTTTTATTATTTTATTATAATTATTTGTTTTGTTTTGTTTTAAATTTTAGGGGAAT